AAATGGGATCTCTGAACTAAAAAATTACAGCAGTGCCATACCACTTTAAAAACGCTTGGCTCTCCCCAAAGAATTCTGGAAGCTGTCATTGTTGAGGGTGCTGGGAGTTGTTAGGAGACCCCTATTCCCCTTGCAGAGCTGTAATTTCCAAAGTTCCTGGGGAAAAGGGATTGATTGTGAAAACACTCTGGAAACTGTAGCTTTGTGAGGGCACAAACTTGAAACCTAAGGGTAGTCCTTGGTGATGTCATGGGAGGGGGGGCAAGTCCCAGAGAGTCCTTCAATAATTTGCAGCCAGCTCTTGCTGGGTTGAAGCTTGCAAGAAGTACACCCAGGTTGAGCTGGGACACTTAGCCGCTTGAGGGGGGCGGCAAGAAACCCTGCCACCGCTGTGGCCCACTGTGGCCACACCCCTTCACACACTGCCCTATGTCCTCCTCCCCCATGGCTGTGCTAGGGTAAGGTTACCAAATTTTTTTCAAAGAATCTGGGGGCACTTTTTTAAAAAAAGGAAAAGAAAAATATTTTTAAAAAGTTATTTAAAAATAATAATTAAGAAGTAATTTCTTCTCCTCTGTCGAACGACCTTCCTCTGGGCCCCAGCCTGCTCTCTTGGAGCACTAGCTACCGTGGAGTAGGCTCAGGTCGGACCTGGGCTCAGCCATGTTTCCTTGCCCTCCTGGTGCTCTCCTATCTCTCCTCCTCAGCAGTGGTAGCGGTGCGGCAAAGTCGGGGCTCCCCTCTTTTTTCTCCTTCCGCTTTCTCTCTCTTCCTTCTCCTTCTCCTCTCCTCCTTCCCCCTGCATCGGCTCCGGGGTATTTCCTGGCCCCGGAGTGCTGCTGGGCAGTCGGCCGGGTGGCCAGGCGCTCTCAATTTGGGTCGCAGGGGGGTCAGCAGTTCCCTCAGTTGACGCACTGGGCATTCCCGGTTCTCCCTCAGCAGCGGCAGTCAACAGCCCAGAGCCAGCTTTGTAGTGCAGTTGGCTCTGGCTGGCTTCAGGAGCTGCTCGCTGCCATGGCGCCTGCCATTTTGCCTTGTTGGAAGTCCCCATACGATGTGTCTTGTGCCATTGGACCCATCATGCAACATTCATTCCCTACTAATAAATCTGCAACACTTAAAATATAAATCCGGGGACATCAAATGAAATCCGGGGACGGATTTGTAAATCCGGGGACTGTCCCCAGGAAACAGGTATGTCTGGTAACCATATGCTAGGGTTGCTGTAGCAATGGGTAGCACACCTAGGGTAGAGGAGGCAGAGACAGAGGTGTGGGTGAATTTATTTATTTAATTTGTATACCACCCTTCATCCAAAGATCCCGGGGCAGTTCACAACAGGGGGAAAAAATACAAAAAGAGAATACAAAATACATTTAAAAAAAACAACCCAAAACCAAAACAATCCTGGCTCAGATTAAACCCAGACACAATGTCCTTCTAAAGCATTTGATTGCCAAGCACTTGGTATTTGTCACTCTGGTTGATTAATGATTTCCAGTCTTGTAGGTGGCACTGGAAGTATTATGTATCCTGCTGTTGGATTCTGCTGCAGCAGCTGACTCTGCAAAGGGTTATCAGATTCTTTCTCTTTCGTGCTGTGAAGGGATCTGAAACTGTGGCTAGACAGCACCCTCTTGAGGCAAGAGAATGAGCTAAGGAGGCCAGCAATTGCTCATTTCCTTGGATATTAGAGGCAACCACTGTTCAGATTAGGGCACCTCCAAACTGTCAATATTTTTTTGGGAGGGATTCAAGAGCATCTCATGAAATACAGGTTTTCCTCCCCCTTGGCAACCTCCGACATTCAAGCCAAATCTTCTCGTTGAAGAAGACTAGTCTCAACTATAGTCCGCAATACTTACTGAGTTGCTGTGACCAAAGTGGCCCAGCAGATGGTGCCAACAGACAGAGCTACAACTCCAAGAATGACCCAATGGTTGTTTTAAATTTGCTGTGACAATTTTATTTCACTTGTGGTCCAGGACTTCCAGGACCACAACAGGCCACACTTCTGCAAGTCAGAGTTGGGCACAGATGAGTGACAGCATCAGATTCTTCTATCCGCAAAGTGCATGAGGATGATCCCACCAGGGATTCTGGAACTTGCACTCGCAATCCCATTTCCGATGGGGATAAGATGCTGAGCCGCAGCAGATGTCAGTGGGACATCGAGATGCAGGGAAGCTTCGTGTATGTTGGAGGGATGGAGAAACAGGCTATGCATGTTTGAGGCAGGTTGCACAGAGGACCTTTTCCCATTCAAAACCTGCTTGTGTCTTCAAATGAACATGGGGGGGGGGAGAGACCTCCCCTAAACCGAATAAATTAATGAATGCCAGAATCTAGCTAATATTTGGGCTATTGAGGGGGGAAGTACAGGCTGCAGAAGTACTCCTGAACTGTGCCAAAGGAAATTCCTGGGTTTAGCTTATGAAAACTAGCCTGGCTGGGTTGGTTAAATGCAGGCCATTATGAAACAATGTCCAGGAAGCTACACATTAAAGAAGGTGCTCAGGTCTGTGCAAAATAGAGGTTGCCAAGGTGATGGGGGGGATGACAGGGAAAAGTGCCTTTTTATAGGATGCTTGAGTTTGTTTGTGTTTTGCAAAATATGTGCTGGGAAGGAGGAGAACAAAGCATATGGTGTTGGCTGGAGGAGGCTGCACTATGAGACTGGGATCCAAAGAAACTTCGAACCCAAGCTTGCTGAAACTATGAAATCGACACTCATGGGGTATAATGTTCTGCACCCCCTCCATTCCAGATTTCCAAGTGTATATATGTGTCAACACACCATATTCCACAAGGGCCAACATTGATGCTGAAATCCAGCATCCCCTGAGTTCTGCAAGTGCGGCTTTCTCCCGATTGAAGTGCAGAGTGCTTGAGGTCTGGGACATTCGTGGGGAAACCAAAATGCTTGTTTACAAAGCGATTGCACTACCAACATTACTGTATGCTTGTGAAACATGGACCACTTAGAAACACCATCTCCAACTCCTTGAAAGATTCCATCAACAGTTTCTCAAAAAAAAATTACACATCACTTATGAAGACAGGTGAACTAATACCAGTGTATGGAAGAAGCAAAGATCACCAGTGTTGAAGCAATGATTCTTCAACATCTACTTCAATGGACTGGTTATGTTGTACGGATGCCTGATTACCGTCTCCCAAAGCAACTACTCTATTCCGAACTTAAAAATGGAAAGCGTAATGCTGGTGGTCAACAAAAGAGGTTTAAAGACTGTCTTAGGCAAGTTTTTAAAAATGTAGTATAAACACCAACAATTGGGAAACACTTGCCTGCAAGCGCTCCAATTGGAGAACAGCCTTTACCAAAGGTGTCGTGGGCTTTGAAGCCACTCGAACTCAGGATGCAAGGGAGAAACGTGCTAAGAGGAAGGCATGCTTGGCAAATCCAAACCGTGATCAACTCCCACCTGGAAACCAATGTCCCCACTGTGGAAGGACGTGTGGATCCAGAATTGGCCTCCACAGTCACTTACGGACTCACTGTTAAAACCGTGTTCATGGAAGACAATCTTACTCGGCTACGAGTGACCACCAAAGAAGAAGATGATTTCTTAAAGACACTAGCCTCTGCTGTGGCTTGATCTTCTCCACGGAAACACAACCCTGGGGAGTGCCTGGAAGCCCTAGAATCTGGCACCTCTTGTGAAGACTGGGGTGGTGTTTAATAGTATGACTTACATCCCTAGCACTCGTGTTGTTGGGATTGCATTGCTCTGATGCACTGAATGCTCTCGAATGTAATTTGCCATTCCCATTTGCATCTCAGGGGGAAAAAAAATCCCAGCTCTTTGCAAGCTTGAAATACAAATATCCTGGGCAGCATCTCTGATCATATAACCACCCCCCCTTCCCAAATTTTAAGGTGAAACTGAAGATGGAACTGCTTTAGTTTCATCCCCAAGAAGCAGCGGCGTAGCGTGGGTTGTCAGCACCCGGGGCAAGGCAAGTAATTTGCGCCCCCTAACCCGGGGCAAGGCAAGTAATTTGTGCCCCCTAACCCGGGGCAAGGCAAGTAATTTGCGCCCCCTAACCCCTAACCTGCCGCCGCTGCCAGCTTCTTCTTGCTGCTGCCTGGTCTGGTCTGGTGTGGTTCTCCCGCGCTCAGCGCTGCGCTGGGCGGCCGCTGCACTGTCCCTCCCCAGATAGTCCCTCGCTCTCTCTCCGCACCGCACGCCTGGCACCCACCCCCTCCACAGTGGGCGGCGACCCAGCGGCTCGGATCGGATTCGCACAGCCAGCACTGCAGTGAGAGAGAGTGAGTGAGCCAGGTAGGGGCAGAGAGCTGCGAGTGCGAGCGCCCCCCCCAGATGTTGCGCCCGGCCCCCCCTGCACCCCCCACACTACGCCACTGCCAAGAAGCAGGACGATTACCAATCATCACACAGCTCCAGGATGCTCTGAGCTTCAGCAAAATATCTGCACGCCTCTTTCCCTGTTATCTTTCGAGAGAAAAGTCTGTGAATGCTGGAAGGAGGAACTGGAAGATAAAGCCAGTTTATCGGATTTGTCGGCTGTGCAGACTTGAAGCATGCTCAGAGTTCCCCCATGTGGAAAGTCATCAGCATTCATTTCAACCAAGGGAGGAGGTGATCTTCACACCCCCATTGGTGGGACTTGAAATAAATCCTAAAAGATCACCATGTAAAGTATTAATATGGGTCTCCGGGTTGAGGAACAAGCATAAAGTATGAACTTAAGATAAGTGGGACCTTCAATATGTACGCGATCGAGCTTCCACCCTCCTCCTTTTCTCATGCAGCCCCTAAATCTGTTCTGCCCCTCCAATCCACTGTAATAGATTTGGAGAGGGTACAAAGTTCTATTGTGCAAATCCTTGTGCTTATGGGATGAGCGTGTTGGATGCCAAGGAAACTTTGCAGTGTTTCTGCAGATACCTGAAACCAGGAAACACCCCCTAAATCGTTCTAGCATATAAATGACCACAGAGAGGCTGCTAGTGATATGTTGGGACTTTAAAATTTATTCCAACGTGCTGTTTTTTTAAAAAATAGGCTCAGACTGAATAGACAATCTGAACTGTAGTAAAGGCAATATACGTGTAAAAACTTTTTTTTTCATTCACAGTACAGATGTCATTTACAATAAAGTTCACAAACATCAAATGCTGAGTATTTTTTTCTCTTTTTTTCCTTAACATTATGTTCTGTGCTTTTTACCTGCATTTTTTTTTTTTTTGCTTTGCACTCTTATAACCATACAGACATTGCAAGATGCAAGTGTAGAAACTGAATTTAAAATAAAATTACAGGCAAAACTACCAAATTACATTGTACTCTGAGTCTGTACATATTTACAGTACCTTTTTTGGAATGTATTGCCATTTTTTTTTAAAGAACATATAGAAACTTTCTAAAGACTATTCCACTTACAGAATACATACACCTTTTAGAAAAAAAGGCAAATATTTATCTTACATGAGACCATGTATATTAAATTTGCGTACACATCATCAATATTATTAATATTTTACATTACATTTACTAAAGTGAGCATAAGTGCCATAATATCTCAATAATGAAAACTTGTTTTATGTCATCGTTAGGACCCAAATTTGGTATTTATTTAAAAACATTTTACCTTTTAAAATTCACAAATACTGTGCAATAACAGGAGGGCAAAAAATCCATAAGGAACACAGACAATAAAAATCAAGTGTATGTTAGGGGTTGGGAATAAAAGTGAGGAACACATGGAGGGGGGAGAGATCATAGAAGGGCTAGATCACAATGCTTCATGCTTAGCTCATAAATGGTTTGTCGGTATCAAGAACATATTGCTTGAATGCTTTTTAAAAGCCAATTGCAATGACTTGGCATTGTATTTTTTTTTTTAATAAAAAAAAATGATGGCCAAAGTTGGCAAAGCCAGACACAGAAAAACAAGAGGTTCTCACTTATGAAGAATCACTGGGCTGAGTTCTGTGAGTGAGGGCATATCAGGGAAATGTAAAAGGTCGCTCTCAAGGTTAAAGAGTGCAGAAGCCAAATCAGGTGGGTCACTTTCCCTGGAATATATTGTGGTTCCCGCCACGGTCTCTTCCAGTAAAAAAATAAATAAAATCCATTTACAATAATCTGAGCAATTTCATCTCAACTGTAGTGGGGATTTCAATTCGGTTTCTGTTATTGTGTTATTTCTTACTTTAAAATAATACAGTCGTACCTTGGACCCTGAACGCCTTGGTACCCTCATACGTTTTGGCTTTCAAACGCCACAAACCCGGAAGTGAGTGTTCCAGTTTGCAAACGTTCTTTGGAACCCGAGCATCTGACGGGGCTTCCGTGGATTCCGATTGGCTGCAGGAGCTTCCTGCAGCCAATCAGAAGCTGTGCTTTGTTTCTGAATGTTTTGGAAGTCGAACGGACATCCGGAACAGATTCCGTTCGACTTCCAAGGTACGACTGTAATATTATTATTATTCGGGGCTTTTCTTCCGACACCTCTCAAGGTAGGCACCATTGTCATAACAAGAGAACAAGGTGAGTTCTGGCACCTCTCTTTTTAGAAAGATAGCACTGATAATAATGTCAAAGTCTTGAGAGCCAATCACAAATATAAACGGCAAATGTGCTCTCTTTGGGAAAGTCCATTAACTCAGTGGGAAAGTATCTGCTTTGAATGTTGAAGGTCCCAAATTCAATCCTCAACATTTCCAGGTATGGCTGGGAGTTGTCCCCTACCTGAAGCCCTGGAGAGCTAGGAAGACAGTATGGACTGGTTTGACTCAATATAAGGCAGCTTTCTATGTTCCTTGAGGTTTCTCATTTTTTGAAGACTATCATCTTAAATATAAAGGGCGGGGGGAGGGGGTTCAGTCTAAAATAAAATTAGATTGAGTCATAAATCTGTCAGAAAACGGCCCTTGGAATCACTGGTCAGCAGAAGCTGCCATAGGTATTGCAACGTAGAATGGTTGATGGATGGAGTATTGGCCATCACTGAAGTGAATGTGGCAGCCATGATTTACCCCTGGGAAAGTCCAAGCCAGGCATAGGCAAACTCCACCCTCCAGATGTTTTGGGACTACAACTCCCATCATCCCTAGCTAACAGGACCAGTGGTCGGGGATTATGGGAATTGTAGTCTCAAAACATCTGGAGGGCCGAGTTTGCCTATGCCTGGTCCAAGCATTTATCAGAGCCTTGTGGATACCATAGCCAAGGGATTAATTTGGCTTACATACAATGACTTTAACTGTACTGGCTTGTGGACTATTCAACAGATTTTAAATCCCTGGGATGTCCCATAGAGATGACTCAGAATTACCAGCAAACCATGGTTTTTCAAGATGTCTGAACCCATGCCATCCAACAAACAATGGTTTGCTAGTAGCTTCCACACTGAGATATGAAAGTACTGTTTGAGAGGGTGGGCAAACTTTGGTTTTATTTCTAAACCAACGAACCATAGCTTGGGCCTCTTGTCAAGAATCTGCTTTTTGGGGGATAATGGCTATGAATTCTCAGGGAAAGTGAAGGAAAGATGGCAATCTCACAAACCATGGTTTTCCTCTACATCTGGAACACAAATCATGCTTGGTGCCTGAGGCTGCATTCCTATACTCACTTGCCAGAGACCAAGTCTCTGAGCAACCATGTATGGTATTGCACCTCAAGTTGCAGTTAGAGCAAACCATGGTGTGATATTATACCCAAGATGGCCCACTTTCTGAAGTCAATTTCAGTTTAACCCAGATTGCTAGGTAGGTGACCAACTGTTTTGAACTCTGGCATGAAACTGACATTCCTAATGGCTTTCTGCTATTAATCCTATGCACGCTTACTTGGGAGTAAGTCCCAATGAGCACCATGGAATTTACTTCTGAGTAAACCTGCATAGGGTTACATAGTAAAAGAAGTAATTAATTACTGATTCTCAGAACACTGGGAAACCAGGAAGGTGCTTAAATATAGAGGAAAAGTCCTTCACAGATTATAAATCTAGGAATAAAGTGCTCAAAAAATAAAAAGCGATCAACTCTCACGGATGCCATCAACATTTCAAAATAATTTCCTTTGTCTCTTTGGGCTGAAAAGGGATAAAAATAGGAGAGATGCTCAAGTAACCAAAATATAGAGGTCTTGTCTCAGCCAGTAATAATAATAACTAATAAGGTCTGACTTAGCCAAGGAATAACAGTACCCAGAATTTGCAAAAAAATAATAATAGTCAAAATAGTTTTACAAGGGTTTTTCTTTTCTTTTCTTTCTTGTTTTTTAAGCTATGCAAAGCTAGATCAAAATAGAAAGCAATTGCAGAAGTAACTATGGAAAGTGCAGTCCAATACTTCACACACTTACTCTGAAGTAAATATCACTATGCTGGGTGAGATTTACTCCCAAGAAAGTGCATATAGGATTGCAGCTTTGGGAAGGGTGGTTTGCAAGGGGGGGGGGGAGATTAAAATTTGATCTCTGCAAAATAAACCTTTCAACAACAGCAAAATAATGAATGGCAGGAAATGTCAGGTCTAGCGACATATTTGACACATGGCCATCTCTGCAGGCTTCTGTTATAGCACCACACCGGGGGAACCACGCAGCGACTTTGTGATGGGCTCAGGACTTTACCTTCAGTGGGGCAAGTTAAGTGCTCGAGGTGAAGCACATTCTTAAGGCTTTGCTAGGTCTGCCTGGAGTGCTCAGCACCTTGCAGTTTGAGCCCTTATTTTGTTTAGCATCTTGCCCTAAGGAGAGCCAGCTCCACCTGGCCAGCCAGTGCAATTGGATAGGCCACCAGGAAATGCCCCAGAGACATTCAGGAGACTTGCGATGGGTGGAAGGAGTTTCTTGCATCCATTGGTTTGCTTGCATCACAAAGCTTCTTTGCAGTGTGAGACCTCTGCCAACTGTGGCTTCAATTTATATGGAAATGCAAAAGCTACCCTGGCAAAAAAAAAAAAAAAGAGGTCAATTTCTGCATTCGCAACTGCCACCCATTGTGGCATGGTTTCTTCTATGTCCAGCAACACCACTGGAGAGAGTGGTGTTACAGAAAGGGCAAAAGGTTGCTGCAGGCAGATACACTGGCATAAATACTCAGGATCTAGGCACTTCGCAGATCCGAACCAGAAAGTGAAAGGAAGAGTTCAAGTAGAGTCCTCTGCAGTGGATGTTGCCATCCAAAGCTACAGAGCTTTGCATGGTGTCTTGTCTGCCAGCCTATTCAAACAGCACTGGGGTCCTGTGCTGTCCTGTCCTTTCTACCCCAGATGCAAATACCCCCCTAGATGACACTATTTACATTTGCAGTGCTTGCCTCACAGAGGATTAAGAAAGGTTTGAGAGCAATAGGTAAACATACCCAGAAGGTTATTATTGTTATTAGCTCCGGGTTGTTTGCAGATGTCATCAGAACAGATCCTGTCCAATGCACCCAAAGCAGAGTTCAATCCAAAGGCTGAAAACTGAGCACCAGGTTGCATTTGATCCAGCCTCAAAACAAAACCAGAGCGTGAATGGATAATTGAAGAGCAAATGCCCAGTGAAGGCTCAATACCGAAAACCATTTGGTCCTAAAAGAGCTGCATGACTAGCTGGTTAAGGGGGGGAGGGAGGAAGGAGGGGATGAGGGGGAAATCAACCACCTGGAATTCAAAGTCATGGCAGAGACAAGGTGTGGCTTTTCGACAATGACCACCGACGTTCTGGTCCAGGCTTTGCTCATTCCATTAAGATGATGGGTGCCATTCTGAATCTTTTGAAGGTATCATGACCATGATACCAATTTCCATTGGAGCCAGACTTTAACTCGGTGATTGATGTTCATCCCCATGACCTGTTGACAAAGGGGATTGTATTGGACCTTCAATAAAGTCTCGGGTTAGGTACCGGACGCCAGTGCAGACTCTATAAGCAAGATCTTTCCGGACCTTAGCACTGAAAGAGGTATTGGAAGCAGAAGTAAACCAAGGGGGAAACAAAACAGAACACTGTCCGCTGTGAATGGAGTTTTCCAGGGAAATCCCAGCATCAGTTTGGTCACCTTCACATCATGTCAGTCACAACATCATTTCGACCAAAGGAAATCAAAAGAGCTCCACCAAAACTATTCAACACAACAAAAAAAGGAAATGATACATCGCAGAAGATTATTCAACTCAAACCCCCATCCATTCCATGTTATTCAGCTATGCCTTGGCAACAGTTCATGGCTTTCCATGCCTGCTTAAAATAAAAATATTGTTCAGGACATTGTTGTGTGGAGCATGCACATAATAAATGGGAACATCTCAGAAAGGACTGGTCCATTGGTTAAATATTTATGGAACTGATTCATTTTGCCTAGTTAATTTCAAAAACTGTGTGTACAGACTCGATCCAGAGCAAGACACTCTCCAAATAAGCAAGCTTGCTCTCGATTAGAGTAAACGTCTGCTATTAAATGCAGTGTGTATATATTAAAAGACCTGTATGGCTCTGGCCCTGATCTTTCTATAGGTGACACCAGGTTGGTTAGCCATTGGAGCCACTGCATTCTTCTGCTCCTTTGCTAAAACATCATCCATTGCAACCTATTGATCTGAAATGCAAACAGCTCAATGAGAATCCACTGGGACCTTTTCATATAGGAATGTATAGCCCAAAAGATCTACTGCATAATGTAGACTAACGTTTGTAGTTATTCCATTAAATGGGGAGGGGGGGAGATAACAGTATGCAAAAAACAAAACAAAACAAAAGCCCTTAATTACTTCTTTGTGGACTCTATGCAGTTGAATACATGGCTGATTTGATAGACATAGGACACATCTCTGACCAGTAGCAGAACTAGGAATGCAGATATGGTTCAGGGTGATATCAAGGCAAGAATAAACTCAGCCTTGATTTCTGGGCTGGGTGGGAAATCTGTGGCACTCCAAATATTGCTGGACTCCAACTCCCATCACTCCTGACCATTAGCCATGCTGGCTGGGGCTGATGGGAGTTGTAGTCCAGATCAGTAAGCAACTTATTTCTATTTTTATCTTACAGTGTCCAAATGTGTGATAAGAGAAGGTGTTTCCTCCCCCCACTTTCATTGGGGGGGGGAGAGAAATAAAAAGCAAAAACAAAAGATCTCCAACTAGAGAGCGGATTTCCAAAGGGCAGGATCCACAGGGATGACAGCCAAGCCCCTACCATCTAGTGGCTGGCAAAAGGCACCCCTTGGAGATTGTGCGTATCAGTCAAAGCAGCAGCCAGGTCACGGAATGTCAGTATTAAAGCAAGAATGGTGGTCAGAAAGCAAAGATCTACCATTCCCAGAACATTATTATTTATTTTTACATTCAATATATTCCTATTTTCTTGCAATTTCTCTTTTTTATTTCCCTTTGTGGGGCAGGGTAGAGGGACCTTTTGCTTATGTGCGTGTCCCTTTTAAAAAAAAGTGCTTGGGGGATAATTTGTATGGGGGGGAGGCACATTCTGAGATTCTTTCTTTGTTTTGGAGAGATTACCTTTTATCACCATCAGGGCCTCCCCATAGAAAACAAGTGCTAGTTTCAGTTACAATCAGAGGGTAAACATTCCTCTCTTCTTCTTCTTCTTCTTCTTCTTCTTCTTCTTCTTCTTCCAGATTAAAGCAGTCACATCTGTCTTTAAAGCACATTTAGAGGCAACCAGAGTAATGCAAATAATAAAAGGAATAATTATAAAACACTTTGCCACATATTAAATAAAGCAAGTAATAAATAAGGGGTACGGTCGTTGTGGGGCGGGGGCAGGTTGTACCTGTCTGTACATGAGAGAGGTGGTGGTTGTCCCCCTCCACTAAAAAAAATCAGCCAATCTCTTTGAAGAGGTGTTTGTTTTCCTTAAAAAGAAAAAGCTTTTCAGTGCATCCATTGGAAATTCTTCTCAACTCTTTCCACATGTCTGCATGTGGTTGAGACAAGACCTCATCGTGGGGAATGGAGACACAATCTAAGAATAAGCCCCTTTCTGATAAACGAAAGCAATAAAACAATAACAATAAATTCATAGCTTCAATTTGTCGGTGCATTTCAAGCAACAACCAAAACACACGCACGCACACACACGCAAATGAAAGTAAGTCTAGAAAAAGGCACACAATTACGATGGAAATAATAGCAGACTGAAACAGAGAGAGAGAGAGAGAACCAGCAACAGTCTCCGTGGGTTTGGTCGTATGCTAGAGCATTGGGTCTTTTCATTTCTTTTCCTTTAGCAATGATTATTCGAAAACCAATTGCACTGACAAAGGTTTGTTGATCTTACGGGGAAGCCGGGGTCGAAAGCTGGGAGGGAGGGTTCAAGCACTTCCTGTATTGTGATCCACTTGCCTTTGCAGTAGGCTGAAGCTGACTTGCTCCAAGGGAGGGCTCCTCCTCCTCTGTACCCCTGTGGTGGGGGGAGCTGGCTCCCCAGAGAGGTTCCTTCTCCTGGTGGGAGGCTGGGAGGAGGAATGGCTCGAGGACAAGGGCTCCAGCAGGCAGCCAGCGCTGCTGCTCCTGTCCAGTGTCTGGGTGGGAAAGTCCGAGATCAAAGTGCAGGGGGGTTCCAATGAGGCGTTTGAGCTGCTACGTGGTTTCTTCCCCTTTTCCCACTGGATGCCTTCCCTGCTGGCTGAAGGCTCATCCTCTGGGCAGGAACGGTCTCGGCTGGGCGTACGGCTTCCCCACTCTGGGCCACCGGGTTCGGCGCTGGCTTTCACCCTGTGTTCCTCCTTCTGCTGGCACTCGCTAGTCCTTATTGTCCCTTCCAAGCAGCTGCTGCTATGAAGCGGTGGGGTTGCGGATGAAGAGCAAGCTTCTCGGATGCCTTGGGCCACCTTGCCGGGATCTTTCGCTTGGCTCGATTCAGAGGTGTCACCGCTGGTGGAGAAGTAGCTGGCGTGCAGCGACATCACTGATCCATGCCCTAAGCTGGGATGGCCGCTGGGCCTTGCCTGGACCATTTGGATGCCCCCGATTGGGATCATGGGGAAGGGGCTCCGGGGTAGCTGCTGGGAGTGCAATGGGAGGTGGCTAAAGATGTAGTCTTCCACCCGGCTCGGGGCATGGGCGTGCGTGTCGTGGGGCGATTGCAAAGGCCTGACGCAGTGATGCTGAGTGATGCCCGGTGAACTCGCTGGGCTCCTGGATTCTGTCTTCTGTAATGACAGGAGGTACATATTGTGGGATGTGAAACACAAGAGCAGTCAAGTACAACATTCCTAGAGTGAACATGTTTACACATGGGGAGGAATGTTTGTCCAGCCAGCAGGTAAACTTCCTGTTGCCTTCTGAACTAGGACAGACTTCCTCTGCATGTGACTAGACGTGGGTGTGGCCTCACCTGTGCAGGTAACGACAAAAGCACAGGGCAGGGCAGCCATCTTTCTCTATGATTCCATGCATCAAAGAAGCAACATCTGCTTAGCCAAAGATGCTCTCTTGGCTTCCAGTCAAGAAAGGACAAAGGGACTGTCTCCTTATGAGATAGTTTCCAGGTGTATGTTACTTTTCTAAGCTAAGTCTGACTTCTGGGATCTGTTTGTGAACAGAATGTGAGTAAACTCTTTTTTATACTTAAAGAAGTATAAGTTTATACACTCAAGACTGTGTTGTGTCTTATCTTTTATGAGGGAATAAGGGGAAAATACCAGAACAGTTATTATAGAGGCTTTACTGAGCCTGAGCAAATGCATCCACTGTAAGTTTAAAAAGGGGGATGTTACTCTGCTAAATTGTGAACTTGTTAACACAAGTTGGAAAGGATATAATCAAACAATATATCCTCTCCTGCATCCCTGAACATTCCCACACATATTAGGAACCAGGTAAGCTGCATTATACGGAGTACAAACACTGGTCAATTCAGCTCACTGGTCTATGAAGGTGATGATATGTTATTTATATGCGGTCCATCTGACTGGGTTGCCCCAGCCACTCTGGGTGGCTTCCAACAAATTAAACACATTAAGCATGGTAAAACATCTGATATAAAAAACTTCCCTATACTGCCTTAAGATGTCTTCTAAAAGTCAGATAGTCGTTTATTTCCTTGACATCTGATGGGAGGGCATTCCACAGGGCGGGCACCACTACCGAGAAGGCCCTCTACCTGGTTCCCTACAGCCTTACTTCTCACAGTGAGAGAACCTTCAGAAGGCCATCAGAGCTGGACCTCAGTGTCCGGGCTGAACGGTGCCCTCTGGCCTTACATTTCCCTATTCCTGATCTACACTAAGTGGCAATAGCCCTCCAGGGTCTGAGAGAGGGAACACACTTAGCTTTATCCGGAAATGCTGGGCATTCAACCTGGGCTGTCTGCCTGCAGAACAGATGCTCCACCACTGAGCTATGGCTCAGCTTATGGGGCTGGTGCATATAGAGAAATCAGTGCACTGACGTGGACATATAAACTGACTTTTTAATTGAAGCTTTAATGGTGGTGGGGGAGAACGGTGAGTAAAGGAAGACAAAGATAAAGGACCTCTGCTATCCTTCCTTCCTTGCCTTCTTATTTTTAAAGACACTCTCCACTTCCAAAACGCACACACACAAAGTAAACAGTGGTGATCTCACAGATGTAACCCTGCTTAGATTTGTGGGTCCACACTCACTGCTTGGAAGACCAACGCTGAAGAACTTACCAGTTTAGGTTCTTCATACAGTTCTGTATTCTTGCCGAGGGACCTGTGAGGTAGAGGCACTGAAGACGAGATCCCATGCAGAGTTTTACCCAGGCTTTGAACTTTTTCATCTGCTGCCGACTGGCCATGAGAAGGCAAGTCCTCTCTTCCTGGGGACGGATACCTCGAAGGCGGCTCTGAATAGCTCTGGGACAACATCTTCTTCAGGGATAAGTATCTGGCTGTAGAGACATCCCTGTTTGGAGACAAATGTCTCACAGGAGACACGCCTCTCTCTGGTGGGAGGTACATTCGCGACGACAGCTCTCTTTTTGGAGATATGTACCTGCTGGGCGAGAGCTCGAGTCTCGGCGACAGACTGCGGAGGGGAAACGCCTCTCTCCTCTGAGACATTCGATGACCAGAGGACCTCCCCCTTGCTGGAGAGAAGCTCCTCAGAGAAGGTGTTTCTCCAGCTGTCGAAAATCTTTTCGGAGACATTTCGTTTTTGGATAACAGGTGCTTCCTAGCCAACATGGAATGGTTGTTGTTGCCACCACCGCCAAAGCCAGAGTCCTTGCTTGGAGACCCCTTCCTTCTCAGAGAGGTGTCTTTGGAAATTGACAAGTCCATCGCTAAGAGCATCTGTGGCCTTGTAATGGGTTCCTTCTCAGCAGAAGAAGCCACGGGTCCACTGGAGGTCAAAACCGGCCGGTGGAGTCTCAAGAAGCTGTGGCAGACGGCAACTTCAGTGCTGTCAGCCGACCATTTCATTTCTGGCCCCGAGGAGGTGGTCTGGTGATGCCGAACAGCACGCTTGCTAGTGGAGACAACATCTTCCAAGATGGACAATGCTGTCCTGGTGCCTTTCTCCTGGGCGGAGTGAGAACCTCTTGGAGAATGTCCTGGGAGGGAGATGTTCTTCATTTCTGAAAGCTTCACTGGTGGCTCCTCTTGGCTTTCCTCCTCCTCTTCCTCTTCCTCCTCCTCTTCCTCGTCGTCATTGTCATCGTCAGACTCTCCCAAGTCTGAAAACTGGTGTTCTTCAAGCGGCTCAGATCCCTCCTGCCCTTCTGAATCTTGGAAGAGATCTTCACTGGTTCCTAAGGGGGACAGGGGGTGGGATACTGCATTAGATCACACAGAATATAGCAAAATCACCCTTCCAGAAAAAAAAATCTTGCAGAAGTTCAAAAGTCCTCAAGATCGCTTCTTTGCCATTTGGTCAAATTTTGTTTTATAAACAAGCACAGTGGCTCAGAAGCATCAGGCACCACAGTTGTATGAGAGTGTTTGAATTGAGTATAGAAACTGCTCTTTTATAGTGTGGCAACACCTAGACTTATTGCTCATTGCTGCTTATTGATATCAGGCAGGTACCTTCAACTGAGCCTTTCCAGCATCCGCTAAAAACACTTTTATTTAGATAAGCCTATCTGGATATCTCGAATGCTGATGTGCGTTTTAATCTGTTTTTTAAATAATAATAATAATAATAATAATAATATATTTATACCCCGCCCATCTGGCTGAGTTTCTCCAGCCACTCTGGGTGGCTCCCAATCGAGTGTTAAAAACAAGACAGCATTAAATATTAAAAACTTTTAGTTTATTGCAGATTTTTTATTTCAAGGGGGGAGGAAATGTTTGAAATAGTTGCTTTTAACTGGGTTTTTTTTACTTAGAATTGTACTTTTTAATTCTTTTTGTAAACTGCTTTGCATTTTTATTTTCATTTTTACAATCAAGGCGTTGTATATAAATTTTAGGAAATAAAAAAAATAACTAAATAACAGAATGCCTTGGGAGGCAGTGGGTTCTCCTTCCCTGGAAGCGTTTAAACAGAGGCTGGATGGCAATCCATCAAAATGATTCAGCATTCTGGTTTGGCAGAGGAAAAAGAGAAACATGCTAGGAAGTCTTTCAGTGTGAGCCACTTGGAAACAAAAGAGAATGGCACAGGAACCCCACTGAGTTCTAAGCCGCTTGCATTCATAAAAATTAAAATAAAAAAGCGTAGTGCAGGAAAACTTCTAAGTGGATTCCCCCACCCACCCCATATTATGTTGTTATTCATTCGTTTTTCACTGACTGTCATGGATGCTTATTCATCTGGGTGACAGATGGATGATTTATGCTCCCATCATCATTACTCCGGGTGTTACTCTTCCACAGAGAGGCACTATTAGAATAAAATTGAGCAAAGCTGCTGGGTGGGAATGGTTTCAGCTTTATCAGATAGAAGACGCTACAAGATGGGAGACAAGGGGGATATAAAATGGCATTTTATGTACTACAAGAAACAGATTAAATGGACCAACATCTCATTTAAGAGTCTATAAACAAGCTTCCCATTGCAATTTCTTCAGCAGGCAGCAAAATACAGGAAGCAGTGGTGCGATTTCCCCGGGTTGATTGGACAGCCTCGTTAGGCGCACTGTTGCGTTAGGGATGCAGGAGACATTTATTCAGGGCACATTTGAAAGTGAACTGAGGTCACACCTGCACCATACATTTAAAGCCCTCTTTTGCCACCTTAACAGTCATGGAGAATCCTGGGAAACATAGTTTGCAGAAGGTGCTGGCCTCACAGACTTGCCACTCCCAGCACCCTTAGCAAACTACACTTCCCATGATTCTCCATGGCTGCAACAGTTGTATAAGGTAAAGGTAAAGGGACCCCTGACCATTAGGTCCAGTCGTGACCAACTCTGGGGTTGCAGCACTCATCTCGCTTTATTGGCTGAGGGGGCCGGCGTACAGCTACCCGGTCATGTGGCCAGCATGACTAAGCCGCTTCTGGCGAACCAGAGCAGCGCACGGAAATGCCGTTTACCTTCCCGCTGGAGCGGTAACTATTTATCTACTTGCACATTGACTTGCTTTCAAACTGCTAGGTTGGCAGGAGCAGGGACCGAGCAACGGGTGCTAACCCCGTTGCACAGATTTGAACCGCCGACCTTCTGATCGGCAAATCCTAGGCTCTGTGGTTTAACCCACAGCACCACCCGCGTCCCTGCAACAGTTGTATAAGAGGGTTTAAAATGTACAGCACAAATGTGTCCTGACTTAACTTTCACTTTCTGGGTGACTTACACAGATCAGAATGTAGTTATTCTTTGGGTTTCATATCTGCCTAAATTTTGCAATATAGTTCCCGGCTTAAAAACATATGAAAGGGCATTTAAATATTGAATGTTTTAGGAGAAAACACACTTAGAAATATGTTCTTTATGATAAATTACATATTTGAGGGTCACACCCTTTAAGACCTAAGTTCAATAGACTTCCTTTAAAGTCCTGTTGAATGCAAATTTTCACATTACGAAAAGTAAGAGATTAGTGCAGAAAGGGATGCTCTGAATGAAGACAGGTAAGATTGACATGAAGGGGAAATAGATTGATCTGGCCAGCTCTGTCCTTTTCTCCCCCATTTTTAAACTTCTTCTTCGTGGGCAGGCTCATTCAGTACAAGCACGAGTGCCTTTCAGCCAAAAGTGGAAATGAGTTGAGTGTGCGAGTGAGTTGTAATTCTAAAATTACATGTCTTGTTGCATAAAGCGGCAAAGCCCAGACAGCTAAACACATTCCAGTGGACAGGGGGTGCAGCCAACATCAACAGACCAGAGAGGATTCCATTCTGAATACCAGTGGATTCCTGCCACAGAGTTGAGATCAGCTCTCACGGTGGAGCTCTGCAGGTGCCTGCAGACTAAGAACGTCCCCTGGACAGGCTCTTTGAAAAAAGGGAATGGGAGACCTCAGGCAGCCGCTTAGGGTTCACTCCAGCCACACAGCCCTTCAAAGTGCACAAGGCAGAATTGTGGTGGGGGCTCTGCCTTTTTTAAAGAAAGCAGATGCCCTCATGCTCCCCTGAGCGTGCTCCCCCCCCCCCCATTTTGCAAGCAGAGCAAATGCCCTGTTGGCTCGAAGCCTCGAATAATTGCTGAGGTGGTGACACACTGTGCCGCTTGCAATGTGTCACCATTAGCCAAGAGGGGTTGTGGGAAACGATGGGAAGGACCAAGTCCTTGAGAGCAAGACCCACAAAATCTCCGGATTTAGGTTTGATGAGGCCCTAAGCTACTGAAGGTAATGGGGCCCTTTATATGTCTAGCTGTCCTTTGTTAACAACAAATTGTCACTGTTTTTTTGTGCTGAATATATGGTAAATGGTGATTTATGGACCTAATAGGTATCTAGAGCCATTTGCACATAATGAATGAGGGCATCCTATATATAGAAATGAGCAAACCAGTGATATTTTAGGGAGCAGGCTAGCAGGCGAGGCCCATTACTTACATCACAGGAGCCTACACAACACAAAACACTGTTGCTGTATGTAGGCTTTATTTTATTTGATTTTTATCTTATATTTTGGAAATATACATCCAGTTCTTTTTTCCTTTAAATTTTTTGGGGCCCCCAAGAGAGTGGGGCCCTAAGCTATGGCTTGTTTAGCTTACACGTAAATCTGGCACTGTGTGTCGTGGTCCACATCCTACAGCTCTCCACCGCATAGAGCAGCATTTGCGGGTTTTCAACGCATCACTAACATGCCTGGGACCAAAAAGAAATGAGGACCAAACCGAAGCTGAAATCCATCTGTTGTGGATGCTTTAGTTTAGATTCCTACATTGCCAGGGGGTCAGGCAAGATGGTCCTTGAGGTCCCTTCCAACTTTACAGTTTCTAAGATTCTGTGAAATGGGGATGTGGCCGCTTGGCCTGTGCACCACCCCCAGCAGGTTTGCCGTTCAGTCTCAGAAAGAAGTCAGGCTAAGAGCAGCGAACACTTTTCGAGGGGCTCTCAAAGCTAATCAGTTATTCTGAGTAAGTTAGCAGGCTCCGCAACTCCTCCAGCAATCTGACACTGGAGCAGATGTCCGCTGGCTGACACCAGCATGAATGCATCTCCCTTGTGACTGACACGATACTGGACTCAATCCTCCCCCCCCCCCGTTTTTTTTCTTTTGCACGTTCTTTCCTCCCCAGGGTAAAACTCTGGCAAAGCACCATCTATTCCGAATGTGGAACGTTTTCCTTTTTTCATGATGTAAAGCAGCAAAAGAGAGAGAGAGAAGGGGTAGAGGAAAGCCTGGATTTCAAAGAAGGAAAGTTGCACCGTGGCAAGCGAGTGAAAATCACAATGTCTGCTGTCTTAAGGCTGTACGTTCATAAAGGCACAGGACATACTCTGATGGGTCAGGCCAAAGGCCCAGTTCCAGTTCAGCATCTCACAGCCAGACAGATGCCCCAGTGAAATCCACAAGCAGAGCAGACAGTAGCCCTCCCTCCCCACCTCAATGTTTTAGGACGAGTCTAGACAATGCCTCCTGCTGTGGGTTAAACCACAGAGCCTAGGGCTTGCCATGCAGAAGGTCGGCGGTTCGAATCCCCGCGACAGGGTGAGCTCCCATTGCTCGGTCCCTGCTCCTGCCAACCTAGCAGTTTGAAAGCACGTCAAAGTGCAAGTAGATAAATAGGTACCGCTCCGGCGAGAAGGTAAACGGCGTTTCCGTGCGCTGCTCTGGTTTGCCAGAAGCGGCTTAGTCATGCTGGCCACATGACCCGGAAGCTGTATGCCGGCTCCCTCGGCCAATAAAGCGAGATGAGCGCCGCAACCCCAGAGTTGGCCACGACTGGACCTAATGGTCAGGGGTCCCTTTACCTTTAGACAATGCCCCCAACATGGGAACTGGTGGTGGTTTCTTCAGTGGTGTAGCAAGGTCAGGTGGTGCCCGGTGGGAAAAATTTCTTGTCACACACCCCCACCATTGAAATCTAGTTGTCATTGTCATTGCCGGGAGTTGTTGAGCTCTTTTAGGGGGTGGCTAAAATTGTTGAGCTTCTTCTGGGGTTCCAGGGTTTGAGTCCACATTTGAGGGAGCTTTTGCTTCTCTCCTTCCCACCCCCCTCTGCTTGTTTGCTCGCATGACTCCTTCCCGTCCTCTCCCTGACTGCCTGCCTCCTCCAGCAGCCTGGGAGCGCGGGGCTGTCAAAACGCTGCAGCTCCCCACCTGCCCCCGACGAGTCGTGGGCGGGTGGTGTGCCAAAAGTCACCCCCTCAGAGATGACACCTGGGGCACTCCACCCCCACCGCACCCACCTTGCTCTGCTCCTGGGTTTCTTTTGTGAACTTAAGAGCATAAGAACATTCAGCATAGTGACTTTTGAGCTCAGGTGTCATAAGGACGTAAAAAGACCCTGCCGAATCAGGCCAGTGGCCCACCTGCTCCAGCAACCTGTTCTTACAATGGCCAACCAGAAACTCGCAAGCGGGGTTCAAGTCCCAGAGCACTCTCCCCTCCTGTGGTCTCCAGCAACTGGTTTTCGGAAGCACGACTACCCCCAGATGTGGAAGAAGAGCCTTGCCACTGTGGCTATTAGCCATGGATAACTTTCTTCCCCATGAACACCAGCCACTGGGGAGCAGGGAATCAAATCCAGAATGGGACTGCTCATGGGCACAGCCAGGATTTATTGGGGGGTCAGGTTTCATATTTAGGGGGCAGAACCACAGTTAGTTAAGAATTTTTACTGATTTACTTGATTTGGGGTGATAGCTGCCTCCTGCCTCCCCTAGCTATGCCCATGGGACTGCTGCAATGCACAGGGAGATCTGGTTAACCCTTTCCCTCCTGCAGCAGTCCCAATGAGCCCCTCAGCTGCTTTTTGCATAAGAAAGCTCCAATAGTGTGTGATAAAAACAGTAGCTTCTGGCGAAGTTCTCTTTGCGGCTGAACGGCATTGAGGAAATGCCCTCCGCTCCCCATCTTGTGTGCCACAGTCCTAATCCTGTTACCACCACCGCAGCTGCTATTTAGCAGCGATGCAGAAACATCAACCAGCAACAATATCTATTTCGTATGATGCCATTTGGCCCAAAGTGATACCATCTACCTGGCAGGGCAATGAAAAGGGAGTGCCCCAGGCTGCTTTCTGTGGAATGCTGGAAGCAGACAGATTTTATAGTGCAAATGGCATTTAGCTGGTGGACTACATGGCCCCATAGCTAGGTTAGTTGGGTCACTAGTGGGAGGCCACACCCTCTGCTGCTCTGTGCTCAGTTCAGCTGCACAGCACAGTCATCCGGATAATGACTCTCCAAAGCTTATTTGTGGTACTTAATGCAGGATGCCTTGCTGAGCGTAGCCTCCCTCAAAAATCCAGCTCTCCTAAACTCCACACTCATCGACACTGACCATTGTCGCAAGTGCCGGGGAGTAGGCGGGCAGATAACAGCCGCTTCAGAATGGGAAAAAAGTCTTTTCTGTGTTCAGATCCCTGCTCACTCCTGAAGCGCATTGGGTGACCTTGAGCCAGTCAGTCTCTCAGCCAAACCTACTTCGCCGGGTTGTTCTGAGGACAACATGGAGAGGAAGAGGATGGTGTATGCGTTTTGGAGGAAAAGCGAAGTGTAAGAGCAATCAAATGAATAAATAAATGACAGCACTCCCAAGTATGAAACTTCACCCCACCTCCATTTTAAAGTTAGACTGGCATCATCTTTCTTAGTTTTCATTGGACCATTAAAACTTGATTTGCTCTCTATGACCTCTGAATGATTTTAAATGTAAATCAATTCTGTTCCATCTGTTTGTCTGTGCCCCCGCCCCCATCTGTTTGTCATAAAATTGTTTTTCTCATGCGGTTCTGTGTGTTTGTGCGCAATGAGTACTATAGTTTTACATCTCATAAAATATATTGGATATATATATATACATATGTATTAGATATTGCAATGGATAAAAGTTATTGGTGGGTTTTAATCCAATTTTGAGTAGTTCCACATTTTTTTGCTATACTGTTGTATGACTGATGATGGCCTTTGGCTAAGCAATAAAGATTTGGATTCAATGTTGTTTTTAGGTTAAAGGTTTTTAAATTGTTACGTCACCTTGGGGTCCTTTGGGGGCTGAAAGACTACTCGTAAATAATTTTATAACAGGAACATTTATGTGTAACTTGGTCCTCTTGCTTGACTTCTTAATTTTATACCAGATTTCATCCCCAGAAAGCAACATGAGGTAGTAATAAATGCTCTAGTGGATGCTAGACTGGTTTATGCTGATCACTGGAAATGTAAGACGATACCTTTGAAACAAGTACAGCTGGGAAAATCGTAGGATACTCTTTTATTGGTTAAATGGATGGCATTCTGTAAATCTTCAGACGCACTCAAACGCACAGTGAAATATGGAATGCAGCACATGTGCACATATGTGTGTTTCTGTATATCTGCTCACCAGATCCAGCCAGGTCACAAATCAAATTGGGCCAACCTGGGATTCAGTCAGACCAGGTTGAAGCAGCCCCAGATCATCCCAGGTTGGATGAGTTCCACCTGGAGCAATCCAGGGCGGCCAAAAGAGGGGGCAGGGGCGGTCTAACAGGAAGGGTGAGGAGAAGGCAGCTTCTATGTGGCCCCATCTGCACTAGATATTTAAAGCAGAATCATGCCACTTTAACCAGTCATGGCTTTCCCCCAAAGAATCCTGGGAAGAGAAATCTGTTAAAAGTGCTGAGAGTTGTTAGAAGACCTCTATTCCCCTCACAGATCTAAAATTCCCAGAGTGGCTCAACAACCCATCTCTCTTCCCAGGGAATTGTAACTCTGTGACGAGAACAAGAGACTCCTAACAACTCTTGGCAACTTTAACTAACTTCAGTTTCCAGAATTCTTTGGGGAAAGCCATGACTGTTGAAAGTAGTAAGGTAAAGGTAAAGGGACCCCTGACCATTAGGTCCAGTCGTGGCCGACCCTGGGGTTGCGGCGCTCATCTCGCTTTATTGGCCGAGGGAGCTGGCGTACAGCTTCTGGGTCATGTGGCCAGCATGACTAAGCCGCTTCTAGCAAACCAGAGCAGCGCACGGAAACGCAGTTTACCTTCCCACCGGAGCGGTACCTATTTATCTACTTGCACTTTGATATGCTTTCGAACTGCTAGGTTGGCAGGAGCAGCAACTGAGCAATGGTAGCTCACCCTGTCGCGGGGATTTGAACCGCCAACGTTCTGATCGGCAAGTCAGCGCCACCCACGTCCCATTGAAAGTAGTATCATAGGGATTTAAATAGTGCAAATGGAGCCTATGTCTCTTGCTCTCCCTCGCCCCCGACTACGTCTTTAAATGGGGTTTTAAGTGCTGGGTGACCTTGGGCCAGTTACTGTCTTTCAGCCTAAGCTGCCTCACAGGGTTGTTTGTGAGAATAAAATGGGAGGGGGGGGAGAAGTATAGGTGCCACTTTGAGCTCCTTGGAGGAACAGTGGGATAAAAATGTGATGATAAAAGAAATAGATGAATTAATTTGAATCCAGATCTATCTGGCATCAGGAATGTGATATGTAGACAGTAAGAAATGAATGAATGAATCGGTATGAGCTTTACCTTCATCTGCTTCTTGCTCCACCAGCGAAGACACCAACACACCCATCTCCTGACATTTTTTGCTGTGGGCTTTTGACTTCATATGTTTAGTCAGATTCCCTGAAACAAAACAGAACATACACGTTTGTCAACATGGGCTTCCTTTCTGCACAGGAACCAGTGACATTCTCTGCATTATTTTGCCAGAACTGGAGGCAGGTGCCTACAAACCACTCATTACTCTCTCAGCGGGCAGAGCGCAAGGTTAGTCATTTGCTTCCTTGGGAAGATTAAGGCACAACCTTCACGATGGCTAGCTGTCATGCAACGCAGAAAAGCAGGCAGGCACTTTGCTTTGCAATGTAGGAAAGGAACGCTGGTGGCCTGGCCCATCTTTCTCTCCAGATTTGCCAGAGCATAGACAGCAATCGCACACTGTCAAACAAAAGGCAAAGCCTCCTTGTAGAGATCAAGCAACAAAGCTGGCCATTCAGTAGCAGTTCAGTTGAGAACAGGAGGCCATAAGCAGAGCCCTGCTGGATCAGGCCCAAGGCCCATCTGGTCCAGAATTCTGTTTCCGCAGCGGCCAAAAGATGTCCCCACAAGCAGAACATGAGCGCAAACGATGCTCCCTCAGTAACTGGTACCAGAGGTAATTATGTAGCCTTTATGACTAAGCACCATTGACAAGCTTATCCTCTATGAATTACCCTAATCCCTTTTTAAAGGTGACCATCATTACATTTCGTGGTAGCAAATTCCATAGTCAGCTACGTGCTATGTCAAGTAGTATATTTATTTGGGGGGGGGGGAGAGAAGAATTCAGAGGGAAAATAAAGGCTCAAGAGTCAAGCAACAGAGCAGATATTAAGAAGGAAACAATCTCAGCTCAGATAGGCTACTCCACTTTTAATTTAAGACTCATGTTAGTATATACAAGCCTTATTTATGCCTGGCTTGTTCTTGCATCCTTGCACACTTTGCATCTTCTGTGCCTGCCCCCCTCCCAAGTTCTGACACAATGGCAAACCAGAGTTTGGTGGCATACCAGCTCAAGGTGCCAAGATGCCCTCAAGCAAGATACCCTCAAGTGTTGCCCCCACTCCAAAAAGCCCTCATCCTTCTCACTACCACTGCTGTTGGCTGAACGCCTGTCAGGAGAACGACTGGTGAAAAAGCAGAGGGCAGAGGTGCTGCTGCCCACCACTTCTCATCCACTCTGGGCCAGAGGGTGCATAAACAAACAGGTGACCACAACAAGTAGGAGGAATCAAGATGATTCCTCTGTACCTTGAGCTACGGCCGTTCCCCAGATCGATGAATCTGCATGGCAGTTCTATTCTTCCTTTGAGGCTGTAGCACTGCTGTGGGTACTTCCTGGTCATAATACAATTTGTGCGCAGCTAATACGCAGCTGCTCTAATGCTTGGATTAGTCTCCAAAAGTGGGGAAGGCAGGCATCAGGATGTAAGGAGTGTCTTGGTGGATCAATATAAAAGTTGGTTCCACCTAGCCCAACCTTTTGTTGTTGTGGAAGACTGCAACCTCAGTCTTGGTATGCATGTGAAGATCAGCCCAGCAAGACACCACAATCCAAGGCTACCTTTGACAGCATGATTCAACCAAGGGAAACCTCATTTAATAATAATAATAATAATAATAATAATTTATACCCCACCCATCTGGCTGGGTTTCCCTGGCCACTCAGAGCAGCTTACAGCATATCTAAAAACATAATAAACCTCTCTTGCCCTGGTGAAGGCTTGTCAGCTGGAGGTTTGGTGGCTGGGAAAGAGTCATTCTTCTGAGAAATCTGAACCAGAGAAGAATTCATGGGTGTAATGCTTTCGTCTTCTTTGAGGCACACATTATGAACCCCAGAAGTCTGCATCTGATCTCCAACACAGCAAGCTTTTGAGTGCCTGTTACCAGTAATCTTTGCACTGAAAGCCTCCCTGGTTCCACTGATGGCTTCAAATCACCACAAGTGACCAGGAAAGGTGTCTATCCTCTGGTAAACAGGAGAATGGAATGTGGCAGCTTTTGACAAGGAAGAGAGAATGCAGGTGCATGAAAGGAGAGAAGTGAAGAGAGAGAGTTAAAGAACAAGGGAATGGTAGAACATTTCCTTTCTCTCCCTTACCCTTCTCCCTTCACGCTCCCCCCTCTCTCCCCCCTCCACTTCCAGGGACTGACCAGACTGAATATAAGAAGTCATGCATGTCCTCAGTGAAACTCCTTCAAGGTTTCGTTAGCTCCTGAGTATGTCTCAGTATCTAGCTTGGTTCTCCAAATGCACTGTAACAAGATGACATAGCCAAAGCTCTCCTGACTGTTGGCAAAATACCTGCAACCCGAAAAACTGGAACATTACAGTAAGCAAACGAAACCAGCCAACTGGTCCTTCTAAGACCTGTTTCAGCTCAGCACTAATAAGGATCCCACTTCTCTGGAGGGTGCTTGTAAAAACCCACCATCACAACTGCTTTACTAGGGAAGGAACCACAGTGCAGTGATAGAATGCACACTCAGGGTTTACTATTGTTTTCCAATTCTGGTCCATTTGACTGAAATGATAAAGAGGTGGTGTTATGGACTTAGGAGGAGTGGACTCAATTTTGTGGTTTCAGACAAATCCCTCTTTCAGAACTCATCTCTCCATCTTTAAATTGAAAATGTTAATGATCTGCAAGTTATTCTTGCTACTTGTTTTTTCAGATAATTGTTTTTCCCTAATAAATACAGATCACAAGGAAATTTGCATATGAAAAATGTGTTAAGGAGAAAAGATTCACAGGATTCATAGTCATAAAGAAATCATCATGTGAAATTTGGAGTTTGTCCAGTGCTGAATTGCAGTCAAAAATGGGAATAATTGCTCTCCATGAGCACACTGGATGAGCTCAGATGGTGGCTTTGACCACAACATAGAGCATTGACCTCAGCTTAGAAGTCACATTCACACCATCTGTTTAAAGCACTCTTACCATTGTAACAGCCAGGCTCCTGGGTCCTATACTTTGTTACAGGTCCTGAGGGCAATTTGGAGACCCGTCACCGAGCTATAACACCCTTGACAAATGATAGTTCCAAGGATTCTTTGGTGGAAGCCATGACTATTAACACAGTATAAGTATGCTTTAAATGTATGATGCAGATGTGATAATGTTCTTTTCAAAACAAAATAGTTTTCTCACAATGTCAAATTTCACATTCAAAAAAGGTTCCGGGTCAAAAAAAAGATTCAAAACCTGTTGCATCTCAACTCTTTCCATGCCCTCTTGGCCACCCATTCACAGCTGCTTCTTTAATAATTTTAAAAACTGAACCCCCGGCTGTGACTAAAATTTGTCGCAGTTCGAGTTCATAATGGACAGTATCATCATTCAAATGGATGCTTGTCACTGAGATCAATCATGCCCCGAAGAGTCCCGAATCCTGTTCCACTGGCTAACTTTAATTTCATCAGCACACAAACAAAAGCAGGAGGGACTAGAAGCATGCGGCAGCAACATAGTCAAGACATGCCACACAGACACACATAAAGGTCTCCATCATTGCTTGCTTGTCAATGAACATTATTAGCTGCTTAAGCTCTTTTGTCGAGACATCTTTCATGGGACTTAAGCGGTTGCCTTGAGACAGCTAATATGCTTTTGCATCCTTAAACCTCAAAAGCAGCTTAGCGAGCACGGGGAGTGCTTTCTGTTCCTCTCAGAACCAAATGCAAAGGAAGGGAACCTGATAGACATCTTATTTGCAGAGCTGGAAAAGGTCGGTCATGGAGGAAAGTTGAGGGGAGACATAACCCAACTGCACATCAGTATGCTATCCGTAAGAAGCCAAGCTAGACACATTGGACGATATCAAGGGAGCCCCTCCTTCTCCCCTTACTTCTCACCAATGACAACACATTATATTAACTGCTTCCTTAAGGTTGATATAGGAGTAGCGTAATGATGTCACCTACAAGTCATGGAACCCAACTGTAACCTTAGGCAAAGCATATTTAAATTCATTCTCCTGCAAAGCAGAATGTCACAGAAGGGAAGGAGACTTAGGTTTAACTGAAAATGGCCCTACCTGTTTTCAACTAACCTTTCATAAAGAAGAGGTGAGGAACCTGTGGCCCTCCAAATGTTGTTGGACGGCCCCTTCCGCCACTGATGACCCTTGACCATGTTGACGGGCACTGAGGTCCAACAGAATCTGAAGGACACTAGGTTCTCCACCCTTGATGGAAGGTGGTTGAATCTGCCAATTTCAGTTTCTCTCTGTTTCTCATTTTTCCAATCTTAATTTCAGTTCCAATTTGAATCTTCAAAAATTAAAAGATCTCACGAAAAACCACTGGCATTCTAGTATACATTTTTTGTATGCACATTTGCCTTATATAATGTGTTTATTATATATGTTATTTTCGTGAAAATGTGCATTTTGTGCACACTGTCCCCTAGCGGGTGCATTTTAGGACTCCTTATTGTTGTCACAGAACTGCGTTGAAAAATTCAGAGAAGTGTGACTTTTGAAAGGAGAGCTGTGCTTCGGCTCACAGATTGTTTTGGGAAGTGAGAATCACAAAGCCAAATTTCTCTCCAGGCCTGCCATATGGGATTCCCATCATTCTTTCAAAATAAAATTGAAAATCTTAGTGTTTTTCAGTAGGGGGCATGGCTAGCCAGTCGCGTGGGTATTTGAGGAGCCTGTAGAAATTCCTTATAAATCTGTGATAATCAATATGGTATTAAGGATATCCTGATGTTTCTCACTGTTGCATGGTGGATTGTTCTTCATCCTGGTATGCAGAGGCAAATTCAGATTCCTGCCCAACAGCTGCCTGGTCATTTGAGTGTACAGCTGCCATCTCTTTTTTGTGCAATCTCATGGGCCCAGGCTACTTGAAAGGCCCCCATCTCCCTATATGAATCTGCCCAGGTGCTAAGATACTCAAGTGAGCATCTCCTCTTAGTCCCATCAACATCAGAAAGCACAGTTGGTGGTGACAAAAGAGAGCTGCTCCCTGATTGTAGAATTCCCTCCCAGCCTGGCATTCCCTGGGGGCTCTGGACTACATCTCCCATCAGCCCCTAGCCAGAACTGAATGGCTAGCTGGGGGTGATGGGAATTGTAGTCCAAAGCCTCTGGAGAGCACCAGGTTGAGGAATCCTGCTTTAACCTTTCTGAAAAGCAACTTCCTTCTTTTGCTATGTGATGATGGGACTTGGGGTGGCCTAAGAAGGGAGGCCAGGAAGGGTCTCGATGTTGCCCATTAACATTGACCACACGGGCAGCCAACTGAGTGGGCCCACAGGCAACCTGGCAAAACCTTCCCCATTATGGTGGTCTATGCTGCATTTCCATTCAAATTATAGGAATTATTTCTACATGTGCATCAAGGTCTATAAAATTAGTAGGTGCAACTTCTATGCAAATCTGAGCCCTAATTCTCCGCTTTCTTGGGGATGCATTTTGCTTTGCTTTGAGGCCACCTTAGATGGGGCATTACATTAAAATAAGTGATGCCTGAATGAAGCTGTTGGGTGTAGACAATGACGGGAACAGAGTTGCTAATCCTACCTAGAGGGGACCCATTGAAATTAATAGACACGGCAAACATAGGCCCATTAATTTCAATGGGTCTACTCTTGAGTAAAACTTCATTGGATACAACCCACGATTTAGAACGGTCCTTAGAGCACACCTTCTTTCCACTTTTTTTTGAACCCAGCCAATTAAGAGCCAGCCCAAGCTTTGGGTGGGGGGCAGTTCCCAGTATAGCAGCGCACATTTTAACCTTTTACATACACAAAACTATCACCTGAAGAGTACAGAGCTGAGCTTTGGGGGGGGGGGGACAAAACAGCAAATTAAATAGAATTTCTATGAGATACTTTTTTTTTTTCCAAAAAAAGAAAGCAGGTAATTTGCTTTTGGAACTTTCAAACAAACATTTCTAAGGCAGAATGGTTGAATTTCTTTTTTAAAAATAGGCCCTTTTTGTAACAGAGATAGAAAAGGGGCAAGGGAGAGATAAAAAGGAAAAGACTTGTTTGCTGCAGATAAAGGGCATGCACCAGCTACTGTTAAGCACTTAAACCCTATTTATTTCAGGGGCAGAGAATTAAGTATGTGTTTTAACATTATGATTGCAATCCGGGAAGCTTAGAAGTGCTTCGCGGCGGTTAGAGTGCGCCAAAATAATCTTGCAGCTCAGAATAAGCTTTTTACCAGCTTTTGTAACACAGGCCCATTATATTTAATCTTCGCAATCCGCTAAAGATGAATCATATTTTAAATGGCTCCAATTTACCTGAGGGCCTCTCCCCAGCGTGACACACAAATGCATCTAACAGAACTCCAGTAGTTGTTTAAAAGGCACTTTAGGAAGGGGCACTTGTGGGGTGGCTGGGTAGGGGGAAACAGCATTTCTCCCCACTACTTCTCTCCAAACTGCCTCCTCTAGAAGCTGCTTTTCCCTTTAAAAAGAAGAAAAGCCCACTGGGGTTTGGTTACAAATCTTCGCATTTAATTAGGCTTGGAATCTCTATAGCAGAGGCAGGGAAAGCGATCCGACCAGTGGTCCAGATTTTTATTTCTCCCATGAAGCAGGATTGACAGGTGGGAGGGGCCAGCCTCCTACCAATCACCTGATGTCGCAGTGATGTAAAGGGACCATTTTGAGCTGCATGGTTTGAAACCCAGCCGTGGGGTTTGCAAAGCACCACACACAGGGTTTTGTGCAGGTTTGTTTCTGCAAGTGCTGCCAATCAGTTGATTGGCGGTGACTGCAATGTCCATTTGGCCCAGCCGTGTTTCTCCTTGACCCACACCTGGTGCCACATATGATATCAAGTGTAGAGGCAGTGGTGTGTGGCTTGGCCTCACAGACCCGGTTAGGTCTGCAAGCTGCAAGTTCTCTGCCCCTGGTTTATAGCATCGTGCTGTGCTGGAAAGATAGAGGAGAACTGACCTGAAAACCATTCTCCATATCTTGCAGTGTTGGTGCAAATGAATGACAGCCCCCTTTCATGCAAATTCAACCCCACAGAATGTGGAAATTCAGACACATGCAATTTCCTAGCTGACAATACAGCGGACACACCACATCTCCAAATCTAAGAAACGGGAGGGTTGCATCTCTGACTTTTTTTACTGGCTACTACAAATCTGCAAGCAAAACTTTGAAGCTGAAACCAATTTCAAATCCTATTCACAGGTGGCGGCTCTCAAAGCAAGCTGTCAAGCAGGTCGCTATAATAAGATTCAGCGATCCTATCCTACTGATACTCATTAAACTATAATTCTCTGGTTCTTTAGGAAAAGCTAGGGCAATCAAAAAACTATGGTGCCTGTTTAAATTTGCAGTGGAACTAAATTCCCAGGCACCTCTGATGTTTACACCTCCCTCCTTCTGTCACACTCCACAAAAGAAATCACTACCAAAATGGCAAATTTTCTCCATCAACATGCATTTCTAGGAATTGGATGGTTAAATCTCCTTACCAACTAGACTAGCACTCAGCAACCCATTCTAAGTATGGCTGTGAATGTGCAACAACGCACACACAACAGCCTAGTCCTTGACTGTGCTGCTAATTCCTAACAGTCTTTTGCTGGCATGTAAATTGCAAGTCGTATTTGTCTGATTGTAACTTAGTGGCTGATCCGTGATGGTAATAATAAAGATTGACTGAATCGGTAGCATACGTGTGCTCTGAGATAGAAGACAGCACAATAAGCTCTTTGTTAACTGTGTTGAATCACAGTGCAAATCAAAGCATGTAGAGAGGACCCAAATTTGACCCCAAACTCAGTCTTTTTTATTTCCCATTTTTATACAAGACAGTCAGTGAGAGGCAATGAGGCATCAGCTGATCCACATTACATTACTATTCAGATTGTTAAAATGGGTTGAGCTTGACAACGCAGGTAACATGAGTAGATCTTATTAACTGCAGCTCTGGGCTTCAAGAAAAAAGTGCCTGTGAAAGTGTTGATTTATTTTCCTGACGTTAGTTTTCCAAGCACTATTTCTATCACAGCATTGGCCTGCAAAGGTCATTCATTCAATGGCTTAGACTGAGTGTAGGAGCTGTGACTCTGATCCAAAACTCTGTGTCCTTTGATGTGTGCATAAAGATAAATTACCAATAAGAATAACCCCATTCATTTCAAGAGAGGGATTCCATCGACACATGTGTTTGTTTACATTCACAAATTAGAACCCACCATTACAGATGCCAGCAAAGCTTTCAATTTCTGGGTTCATCTTAGAGCTTGAGGGGCTCATAATTGAAGCTTCAAAGGATTTACAAGCCACCGAGTTATTCTCTGGCTCAGATTAAAATCCAAGCCAGGGACTAAATATTGGTTTCCCACCCCACCTGCCTACACTGCGAACCCTTAATCCATTTCCCCATTTAAAGTCTTATTAGGCAGCATCTTCTGTGCAGTGGAGCATGAGAAGAGAGGAAAAGGGTGGTCTGCCCTTTCTCCCTCCTTCTCTCTAGTGTCATGGAACATAGCTAGGACATCTAGAGGTAGGAGGGAAGGGAAAAGCCTTCCTCCTTCCTTCTTCTTGTACAGAACCAGTGTGCCTCCTGTCAGCCAACAAGTATTTAAGGGAAAAGGTGTTAGGAATTAAGGAGGCTGATGAGAAGAGTATTTGAGGAATCAAGGAGAGATGGCAGGAGGGGGTGGGGAGCCAATTCCAACCATGCAATTGGTTTGGATCATAAGCTGCATTATTTCCGATTTTTCTGTTTCTCTCTTTGTTAATAATTACTTTGCACATTTCCAAGGTGACAGGAGCAGGGGCAAGTTTGCACATCTGTACCCTCTGCTGAAGTGAACGGTGGCAAACTCAGTGCTTGTGGGATGTGAGACATAAGTAGCAGTCAAGTACAATATTCCTTGTTTTCCTAGAGTGGACATGCGGGGGAATGTTTGGTCCAGCCACTCAAGAACTTCCTGTTTCCTCCTGGTTGGGACATACTTCCTTTGCATGTGACTAGAGGGGGGCATGACATTACCTGTCCAGGTAAAAAAAGGACAAGGCACACATCACTCTCCCTCTGTTTGACTTCCTCTGTCGTTGGAGCAGCTTTCTAGCTAGAGATGCTCTGTTGGCTCTCAGCCAACAGACAACACTGGGATTATCCCCATATGGGATAGCTCCACATGTATATACTTCGTAACTAAGTCTGCCTTCAGGGATCCAACTGTGAACTGAATGTGAGTAAACTTCGTTTCTATACTTTATACAAGATTGTGGCGTGTTTATTCTTGTAAGAGGGATATAAGGGAACTTACCAGGAACCTAATAGTGAGAGGCTTACACAAGCCTGAAACCAGCTATCTGCTGTGTGTTTAAAAGGGGAATGTGAAACTCTGCTAAGTAAAGGAACTTGCTAGTGCAAGTTAGCAAGGATATTAATAAACAATATAGCCTCTCCTCCCACCCTGGACATTCCCACAGTGCCCACACCAGAATTCAAGTACCTGAAAGCAAACTAGATCAGGGCACATGGATGCATTTCTGTTTTCTCGCACAAGGAAGATGTTGGACAAGGGTGCATATATTTCTGATTTACCCAACAGTTGATGGTGGGGAATATGATGATGGTGCAGCTACCTTGAAATTGTCAGGACTTCCTTCTGCCTAGGCTAGCAGTCTGTTTCTTGACTGGCAATACCTCTCCCAAGGTCTCAGGCAGAAGCTTCTCCCAGTTCTGCTATCTTTCGACAAAGAGTAGATGGAAATCAAAAACTTGGGACCATCTGCACATAAAGTGCACACACTACCACTGGGAACATGGTAAAAAAGGAACCTGCCTTATACTGAGTTAGATTGTTGGCCATCAACATTCTCTGCATTGACTGGAAGTGGATCTCTGGGGTTTCAGAGAAGAAATCTCTCATGGCCATACCTGGAGATGCATGGGATTGAACCTGGAAGCTTCTGGAAGCAAAGCAATACTCTATCACTGAGCCATGGCCCTTCCTTGCTGAGGTATGACTCCTCATAGCTAGAAGTGAGGGTTGAGGATAGAACCAGTGGAGAAGATCCACAGATAAAAATGCACACTCAAATTTCCACAACAGCTTCATCCACCCCCATTTGGATTCCGTCCAAATGAAGCTTCTATTTCTTTTTTACTGGAGTCTGTAGCTTTCCCTGATATCCTGGGCAAGGCCTTCTAAGTGTGATGGAGGACGTCAATGCCAGCTGGCACCCAGAGGCCTCTGCCAAAGCCCAACACAAGAGTTACCTGCCAGAACCTGTAACTGATTCCTGCCAGCTCCTCCACTCTCCCAATGCTGAGAACCACCTAGTGGATGACTCCACTGAATGACTAAGCCGCTACATGGTCATTGCAGCTGGAACAATTCGCAGGAAACTTGTCCTGCTTATGTCCCACTGAAAGGAGAACTTTATGTCCCTGAGCATGATGGGGCTTGCACAGAAGTCCCTTGGCTTACAAAGACCACTATGAGCACAATAGCTGGTGCTATGCTCAGTAAATAATAATGGGTTGTATGCAATATTAGTCCTAATCAAAGTAGATCCATTGAAATTAATGAACACGGCGAGGCCACATTCACACCATACATTTAAAGCACTATGATACACAGTCATGGCTTCCCCCTAAGAATTCTGGGAGCTATAGTTTGTTGAAGATGCTGAGAGTTGTTAGGAGACCCCTTTTCCCCTCACAGAGCTTCAGGTCCCAGAGTGGTTTAACAGTCAATCCCTCTTTCCCAGGGAACTCTGACAATTGAGATTTGCCTTCTAACAAATCTCAGTACTCATAACAAACTACAGCTCCCAGAATTCTTAGGGGGAAGCCATGACTGTTTAAAGTGGCCTGACACTATTTCTAAATGTATGGTATGAAAGCAGCCTGAGTTAGGTCCATGGATTTTAGCAGTTCTACTCTTCACAAAACTTAAGTTGGCTACCACCCGATAATTCTGACTTTTCCTTTTAAATCCCAGTTGTGTGGGTTGGCCCGATTTCCTACCCTCTGGAGTTGTGACCCTCAGGGTTACAGCCCAGACATGCTGATCTCTGCCAGAAAGATTAGGAGGAACCTCCTTAGCTCAAAAGGAAATGAAAAGTGAGATTGTAACGAAACACTGTGGAGCTGGAAGCTTTAAAATGGGGTGTGTGGGAAGAGACCCAACATTCCCAAGAGCTGGCAATCCCACAGGCTTTGGATTGAAAGCACATTTGTTTGGGGGGTAAAGTCTCTGGAGGAACAATTTTTACAGACAAGGAAGTAAGGGGTGAGGGAGGAGGAAGGCTTTAAGACATGGGTAGGCAAACTAAGGCCCAGGAGCCGGAGCCAGCCCAATTGCCTTCTAAATCCGGCCTGTGGATGGTCTGAGAAGCAGCGTGTTTTACATGAGTAGAATGTATCCTTTTATTTAAAATGCATCTCTGGGTTATTTGTGGGGTCTGCCTGGTGTTTTACATGACTAGAAAGTGTGCTTTTATTTAAAATGCATCTCTGGGTTATTTGTGGGGCACAGCAATTCATTCTTTTTTCCCTCTTCAAAATATAGTCTGGCCCCCCACAAGGTCTGAGGGACAGTGGACTGGCCTCCTGCTGAAAAAGTTTGCTGACCCCTGCTTTAAGAGCACCAGATACACTCAACAGCCCCGGGGGAACTCAGTGGAACCCACATCACCACCCTATTAAACACCTTCACTCTTGAAGCTAGTTGGTTGGTTGTTCAATCGTGGAATATATCGGATGGTGGTGTGTGTGTGTGTGTGTGTGTGTGTGTTTTAGCCACAATTAAGGCTCAAACCCACCTTTCTGTCAAAGCACAAGAACGGTTCATAACACACCGCAGGCAAACTCTTGACAGAAGCCATCTGGCAAAAATAGCACGTTACATACTCTTGCTTTAGCATGCTTCAGCCAAGTTAGAGGTTCCTCAAAGGATTGCAAGCATCCTTTCCTGTTGCACTGGTGTCGTCCCCCACCCCAACCCTGCTGAGAATGTCAACTAGCAAGCAAATGTGCTAAGAAGATGGAGCGTGGAGCTTGCTGGTGCTTACCTTTGGTTTTAAAAGCAAAGTTACAGTACTTGCAGACATATGGCCTGACGTCTGTGTGCGTGCGAATGTGTTTCTTCAGCATGCTGGGCTTCTTGCAGCGAATTCCACACTCCTCACATACATACTTCCCTCGTCCACGGCCTCGCACATACACATACTCTTCGTTTGATTTGTACCTATGAGCAACAGGGTGTCATGGTAACAGAAATAAAAAAGATTCCCACCTTAAAGACGTAACAAGCCTCCTTTAAAGTTAAACAAAAACCCAGTGCATATCATTCATAGCCACAGACAAAAAAGTCTCGGCTAGCAAATTCACTACATTGTTTAGTCAAGGGAAAATGAAACTCCATGTTGTTGTTGTTCTGTGGGGAGGGAGCATTTAGCATCATGAGCTGCTGGCGTGATGGAGCGCTCCTTGATCTATGGCTCTTCCATTCATTTCAATGGGCGGGACAGTGAATGGAGAAATGCTGTTGTGATCAAGTCCTGGTTGTGGGCTTCCCCTATGCATTGGGCTATTTGGATGCAGTAGGGCTCTTCTTATGTTCTTAATGGAGAGAGCCAATCTTTGAGCAAATTCCTTTCTTTTCCATTTTGGAGAAAGCCAGTGTGGCGTAGCAGTTGTGCAGGGGCAACCAAAGCAATGTGGGACTCCCATCATCCCTGACCATTGGTCACACTGATGGGAGCTGGGATCCAACAACTTCTGGAAGGCACTGCATTGACTATCCCTGAATTGGTGTGCCAAGAACCAAAGGGACAGGGTTCAAATCCACACTCAATCATGAAGCTCAGTTATCAAGGAAAAAACCAGCCAGTGGGAGAACCAAACGGGGCAACTCAACCTCTGTGGAAGAAGAAGATCAAAAGCATTCTAAATGAATGCTCAAACTGGTCTCCTTGGCAGAATGGGAACAGCATGCCCATGATTGCACACACAGGTCTACAGCACTAAAGTACTGCCTTTCACTTTCCTAACAAACACCTGCCACCTCAAATTTCATTTGGCCACATGCAATATAAGAACACTTTCTACAGCTACATCACCTTCTGAATAACACCTAAATGTTAAAGGCATGATGATCTGACACCTGTGGCTAGAATAAGGTTACCCGATATTTTTTTTCAATGAATCCGGGGACACTTTACAACTTCAGTGGATTTTGTATGGGGACTGATTTGTAAATCCGGGGACTGTCCCCGGGAAACAGGGACGTCTGGTAACCTGAGGCTGGAAGCTCAAGCAAAACGTATCGGGGAAAGACATCACAGACCTGTAAACATAGCTTTGGGCTAAGCCGGGGTGTGGAACCTCAGGCCCAGGGACTGAACATGGCCCTCCAGGGACCTCTATCTGGCCCTTGGAACTGTTGCCAAGCCCCCTCCTTGGTCCTGCTTCACCCCCAAGTGTTTTAGCCTAGCTGGAATGTGTCCCTGAACTCTGATAATGCCTCTTGCTTGTCTGGGTGGTGGATAGAGAGAGCTGTTTGAGTGTTTTACTATATAAACAGTGTATATCAACAGTATACACACTGTGTTTACTGTAAGGTTGCTCACAGAATTGTAGAATTGGATAGTTGGAAGGGACCACAAGGGTCATCTAGTCCAACCCTCTGCGGGGCATGTTACATTCAATGAGCGTATGGTCCACGTACCTGTGTATACAAACAATTGAGCTGTACAAATCAGAAAGTGTATACTCATACATACATAGAGATAACTTGTACCTGAGCTCAGTTTAATGTGAAAATAAGGCTCTTTTGTGTGCCGAATAAAGGGAAAACTCACATTTGTTACTCTGCCCACTTTTTCCTCTGATCCTGCCCACCACTGGCACCTGGCCCTCAGAAGCTTGCCTAGGAGGGAATACGGCCCTCCAGCTGAAAAAAAAGGTTCTCCACTCTTGAGATACACCATGCAATTCAAGTTCCCTTGTCCAAATCTTCATTCATACAGGCACATTATATTTTGGCAGTTTTCGTGAAAGGAATGCCACAGCAGTTGATGGCTGCCGTTAGCAAAAAAATATGCGAGCAATTGCTTCCTACCATTTTCCTGCTTTCAATGCAGAGTGAAAAACATCATTGGCCTCTTTGAATTTAAGAGATCACCACCAACTTTGGCCAACAATATCAATAGGGTTGGGTGTCCAAATATTTGAAAGAGAATATGCATCTCAAGAGTTGTTCAAACCTTTCCTTTCCTATCCCATCCCATCCCATCCTTTAAAAAAGAGGGGCATTCCCGACAATCAAACTGAAACACTCATAATTACTGGATGAAATATATTGGCTAATAAAATCAAGTAACCTTCAAAACTCACACCGGCAGGGTGGTGGTGGGGAAGTCTCACTCTGTGCTGAGTTTTGGTTTACAAGTGATGTATTTGGAAGAGACAAGGAAACAGACGACCAGTAAATGTCAAAGATATGTCAGACACTAGGAGATAGAGAGAAAGCAGACTCTAAAGCCAATACTTTTCAATAAAGCTAGGTATAATTGCTAGGTATGAATGCAACTCATAATTTGTGGAGGAGTTGTAAATATATTTCAAATGGGACATTAGTATAATAGTATAAACCCAGAGCAAATGTCAGCCAGGGCGCAAGGATATTTATTCATTCAATTGTCCCCAGTCTTTCATCCAAGGAGCTCACTAAGCCTGCGCAAAATTCTCAGGGTAACTTCCACCCAGGCACTGTCACATTCACACCATACATTTAAATCACTGTGATGATACTTTAAACAGCCATGGTTTCCCTATAGAATTCAGGGAGCTGTAGTTTGTCAAGGGTGCTGAGAGCTGTTAAAGGTAAAGGGTAAAGGGAACCCTGACCATTAGGTCCAGTTGTGACCGACTCTGGGGTTGCGGCGCTCATCTCGTTTTATTGGCCGAGGGAGCCGGTGTACAGCTTCCGGGTCATGTGGCCAGCATGACTAAGCCACTTCTGGCAAACCAGAGCAGCGCATGGAAACGCTGTTTACCTTCCCGCCGGAGCGGTACCTATTTATCTACTTGCACTTTGATGTGCTTTCGAACTGCTAGGTTGGCAGGAGCAGGGACCGAGAAATGGGAGCTCACCCCGTCGTGGGGATTTGAACTGCCGACCTTCTGATCGGCAAGTCCTAGGCTCTGTGGTTTAACCCACAGCGCCACCCGTGTCCCGCTGAGAGCTGTTAGGAGGCCCCTATTTCCCTCCCAGAACTACAGTTCCCAGAGCGGCGTAACAACAAATCTTCCTTTGCAGAGAACTCTGGCAAACGTAGCTCCATAAGAGGAGTTTCCTAACAACTCTCAGCACCCATAACAAACTATATTCTGTGGATTCTTTGCGGGGGAAGCCATGACTGCTTAAAGTAGTATAGGTAAAAGGTAAAAAAAAAGGTAAAGGACCCCTGGACGGTTAAGTTCCGTCAAAGGCGACTATAGGGTGTGGCGCTCATCTCTCTTTCAGGCCAAGGGAGCTGGCGTTTGTCCACAGACAGCTTTCCGGGTCATGTGGCCAGCATGACTAAACTGCTTCTGGCACAACGGAACACTGTGATGGAAACCAGAGTGCATGGAAATGCTGTTTACCTTCCCACTGCAGCTGTACCTATTTATCTACTTGCACTGGCATGCTTTTGAACTGCTAGATTGGCAGGAGCTGGGACCGAGCAACGGGAGCTCACCCTGCCGCGGGGATTGGAATTGCCAACCTTCTGATCAGCAAGCCCAAGAGGCTCAGTGGTTTAGACCACAGCGCCACCCGCATCCCTATAATAAAAGTACCTTAAATGTAAAGAGCAGATGCAGCCACAATGGCAAATAAGCCATTAAAATTGGCTACATCTCTTTTACCAATTCTCCCGCAAATCTTCCCAGACTTTCCCAGACTTTCTCAACATCTCCTCAGAAAGAATCCTCCAGTCCCCTGCACTGAAGCAAGGATGGCACACCTTTTTTCATCCTGGGGGTTGCTTTCCTTCCTAGCCAACTTGCAACTTGACAGTGGCTGGTTTCCACACACACTCACACATCCCCCTCTATCCAGTCAAGCAAGAGACATTCTCAGAGTTCAAGAACCCATCTCACATCCTCCAACATTTCTCAGATAAAACATGTAGGGTTGCCAAATCCTGAAGAGGAAAAAATAGGACAGCCCGATCCGCTGCCAGCCCGAGCCGGGGAAAGAGGCATGGGGCAGGTGGGGCGAGCAGTCCAAGCCTGAGCCACCTAAAACCTCAGCAACCTGAGCCGCAGTAACCTCCAGGGGCTTAAAGGGGTTGTCCTCCATTCCTCCTACGGAGGGGGGCGTTTCCGTGCGCTCTGATTTCTGTCACGGTGTCCCGTTGTGCCAAAAGCAGTTTTGTCATGCTGGCCACATGACCCAGAAAGCTGTCTGTGGACAAAGGCCGGCTCCCTCGGCCTGAAAGCAAGATGAGCGCCACACCTTATAGTCAAATTTGACTGGACTTAACCGTCCAGGAGTCCTTTACCCAGCAGCGGAGCAAGCCGATTGGGCGCCTGGGGTGGAGCGTGCGCCCTGTGTCTGGGGGGGGGGCAGCTGCCCGCAGGGCGGGGCAAGCTGGGGCAGGACGCTTCGTGGGCCCTCAGAGGAGTCTGCCTGTCTCCTCCCATTCAGCCGCCCTACAGCTGAGGGGGAGGCGGTGGGCAGACCGTTTGGGGCAGTGCAGAGCCTGCGGGCGCCCAAGCCACCATGTCACTCCCAGGGGAGACGTGTGGCTCGAGCATGCTGTAGGCCCCGCAGTGAGTGCCGCCTGCCATTTTATCACCCCCCTGCGTGGTGACACCCAGGGTGGCCCTCCCTCACCACCCCCCTTCCTCTGTCCCTGCCTTTACCTTTACCTATACAGTGGTACCTTGGTTCTCGAACCGCTTAGTTGTCAAACAAATCAGCTCCCGAATGCCGCAAACCCGGAAGTAAGTGTTCCAGTTTGTGAACGCTTTTCGGAAGCCGAATGTCCAACATGACTTCTGCTTAAGTGCAGGAAGCTCCTGCAGCCAATCGGAAGCCGCTCCTTGGTATTCGAACTGTTTCGGGAGTGGAACGGACTCCTGGAACGGATTAAGGTTGAGAACCAAGGTACCACCGTATTCCTCCACAAAGGTGAACCTTTGACACTGGACAGTCTTGCTGCCATTTATTTATTTATTTTTGGTCTGTTTTACACTTATGGAATCTTTAGAATGGATTTATCCTACATGTTTGAAAGTTCTTCTTTAACCTTTGCACAGTGCGTCGCTCTAGAAGGTTTAATGAAAAGCAACGCAGACATTAAAATAAAATAAAATGAATGAATGAGACGGCCGCTGCCTACATCTCAATGAACCTGCTTCAACCATCACGCAAGGCCTCCTGCACTGCTCAGGCATTTGCCCCCTGGCAATCAATCATAGGACTCCATTTACAGCTGCCTTGTTCTTGTATTACTCGTAATTACTCTCTGACATGGACCCTTTATGAGCCATGCCTTTGTTATGCCGGAGTCCTGTGTCAGCTCCATTAGCGCTATCAACAGACAACATCTCCTGGCATTGCCGTTTGTTTTTTTTTTATCTGGGCCTTACTAAAAAGAGCTGTTCCTTCTCCAGCTCATTTATTCTGTGGTCAGAAAAGTGGGAAAGATGTGTGTGCATGACTAAACAAGGATTAAAGGAAAACAACATTTTAAAAGCACACAATTAGATTTGACTAGAAGAAGAAAAGGTGGTGTTCGAACCATGTCATGCAGAACTGTTGCTGTACTGAAAAAGAAGAGTTTTGTGTGACTCAGGTGGGGATTATTGCATGAGTCTTCCTGGGTACAATGGTAGTGGTTCTGTCACGATTTCCACTGTTTATTTTACATTGCATTACCTGCTGCATTGTGGAATTGGGGTCTTTTATCATTGATGTTCTGCCCTCTATGATGAGTCACCCTCTCTGCACACGAGTGCTTCTGTTCCCCCATGATTCACTCGTGAAAATGGCAGGAAAGAACCATACGCTGGGATACCGGGCCAATTTTTGGCACGTGAGTGGGAGTGGCATGACACATGAAAACTGTGAGGAAATCACACCACAAACTCCCACAATTTGTTGGGTTAACGGGGTTGCAAGCGTATTTTGTTCGGGGAGAAAGTAACATGAAAATAAGCACTGGATTCTGCTAGAGTTTCAGAAGTGGCACATACGTCACATAAAACATCACATAAAAGGCAAAAATTATAAGGCAAGGAAAAGTCAGGAAAACGAAATAAAGTGCAATCAGAAAGCATCCTCAGTTTGCATGTTAATGCTAAGCCAAACCAAACCATGGTTAAGTGTAAAGGAGGAAGCATGCTGTGACACATTAAGTTGCTAAGTTTAACAAAACAGAATATATTTAAAGCAGGCTTCCGCAACCTAGTACCCTCCAAATGTTGCTACATTTAGGGCTACTTAAAAGTGAGCATTTTTAAGTTTACAAACATTAATAATCACAGAGTGGCTGGGGCTACACAGTCAGATGGGTGGGGTACAATTATTATTATTATTATTATTGGCGTAACAGCCCTTAACATTTGTATAGTACTTTTAAGTCTTCAGAATGTTTCACATGAGTGTCTTACAGCACAGATGGGGATCCTGTCCCACGCAGATGCTGTTGGACTCTGGCTCCTCTCAACCCCAACACGCATGGCCAATGGTCAAGGATTATGGGAGTTGTAGTCCATCAACACCAGTAGGGCCTTAAAGCAAACCTGTAAAGCAGGCATAGGCAAACTCTGGCCCTCCAGATGTTTGGAACTACAATTCCCATCATCCCTGACCACTGGTCCTGTTAGCTAGGGATGATGGGAGTTGTAGTCTCAAACAACTGGAGGGCTGGCGTTTGCCTATGCCTGCTGTAAAGTGAGTTGGTGTTGTGAGTTAGTTAGTTAGTTAGTTAGTTAGTTAGATAGATTGTTATTTTCTATACCGCCCTATACCCAAAGGTCTCATATAATCCCCAGGCTGCAGATAGCAGCAGCTGGCCTAAGGTCATCTAGTGAATTTCAAACCAGGGAGGTATTGCTTCATAACTCAGTCTCTTTGGTTGCAATCCTATACTCACTTACCTGGGTGTAAGCCCCATTGAACTCAATAGAGCTTGGCTCAGAGTAGACGAGTCTAGGATTGCACTGTTAATCATTATGCTACCCTAGCTGGCCAAGAATGAGATCATTTGCCGGACAACAGGCCACAAACTTTCTCCTATCCCCTTTTCTTTTCTTTTTTTAAACGTGGTTTATTGGTTTTCATGGGAATTTGCTATGTCAAGGAAGATACTGGCACCCTGCACTCTCATGAACCAGCAGCGATTCTGCAGAAAGGCAGTGGCACAGCTGTGGCTGACGGGGTGCCTGCCAAGAGACTTAAAAGCAAGACACAGACATCACATTGGGGGGTGGGGTAAGGAGAGAGAGTTTTAGAAGCAGATCAATCCTGCTCCAGCAAAAATAGCCTAGACTAGGACAAACTTGGCGAAGGTTCAGCTTCATTTGGAAAAAGCCACTGGGGGCATTTTGATACAGCAACACAATGCACAAGGACGGAGTCTGATCTAGCCTGAGCGAAGTGCTTTGGAAACCCGTGTGTGCTTATCACTGTGAAAAACACAGTTGCATGCCCTGGCCGTGTTTGGAACTTGTCAGTGTTTGTAAAAACCAAAAACCAAAAGGTTCTGACCTCCCTTTGTTGCCTCAGCCTGGTCCTCGGACCCTTGTCGGCATAAAAGAGTCCACGAGAAAAGTATCCTTGCAGAGTGCTTTATTCTTAAAAGTCTTTGTGCGACTGACACACAACACTACCAGCTTTCACTAACTAACTAACCAGCCAATCCAACTCAGCAAACTAACATTTCTCACTCTATATATACAACCTGGTGCAGGCCGCTGACTCATGCTGACCCAGCTTTATTAGCATTAAAGAAACAGCGGCCATTTTAGCCGTGACAGGACTCTCTCTTTCCCAATTGCTCTGGGCTCTCTGGTTGGAACAAGTTGGGCTTTCCCATGATGTCCAAATATGGCAGAACAGGATTGGAAAAGGAGGTAGCAAACAGAAATAGGGCATCCTACCTACTTTGGGCTCTGACCCGGCCCATGCCACCTGCTGTTTTGGCCCCACCCACTCCTTGCATGCCACTCCTGATAGATCCCTCCCCCCCCCCAATAAATAAGGACAGAGGGAGAGAGAGAGATGCCCCCCTCACCCTTGCATTAGTTTGTGAGTGGTCTGCTCCCATTTCAACCTGGGGCCTATCTGCATTATACATCTAAAGCAGTACCATCCCACAGCTGTGGCTTCCCCCAAAGAATCCTGGGAGATGTAGTTATTTAACTTGTTAGGACACCCGTTTTCCTCTCAGAGAACCACAGTTCCCAGAAATCCCTAGGAAGAGGGCTTGACTGTTAAGCCACTCTGGGCACTATAGCAAGGAGGAGTTTGGATTTGATATCCCACTTTATCACTACCCGAAGGAGTCTCAAAGCGGCTAACATTCTCCTTCCCCTTCCTCCCCCACAACAAACACTCAGTGAGGTGAGTGGGGCTGAGAAACTTCAGAGAAGTGTGACTAGCCCAAGGTCACCCAGCAGCTGCATGTGGAGGAGCGGGGAATCGAACCCGGTTCACCAGATTACGAGTCTACCGATCTTAACCACTACACCACACTGGAAACAGGGGAACAGGTATCTCTAGACCACCACCTGTAGCTGGAGATGCCAGGGACTGAATTGTGATAACCTCCACATTAGCCTTGGCAGAAAGAGGTAGACACTGAACTAAAATTAACTGGCAATGTGTTCCTCCATTTAGGTGTGAGCCATGCATCATTGGGGCTCACTTATCCCAGTTAGGTAATGAAGAACCTCTCCCAGGCTTGAATTGGGTTGGATTAAGTTGAGCCATTCTCTCTGCACCACATCACAAAATCAAGCCATTCGGCGTTCTTGGGAATATTACATTTGGAACAGAACAGAGGGAGAGACTGCCCTCCCTCTACTTTGCACCACCTCTGGAGATGCAGAGTTAAGCGGGCAAGTAGGAAAGGGATTTAATTTTATTATTAATAATAATAATGATAATAATAATAATACCCCGCCCATCTGGCTGGGTTTCCCCAGCCACTCTGGACAGCTCCCAACAGAATATTAAAAACACGATAAAACATCAGACATAAAAAACTTCCCTAAACAGGACTGCCTTCAGATGTCTTCTAAAAGTCAGATAGTTGTTTATTTCCTTGACATTTGATGGGAGGACGTTCCACAGGGCGGGTGCCACTAGTGAGAAGGCCCTCTGCCTGGTTCCCTGCAGCCTCACTTCTCACAGCAAGGGAACCACCAGAAGGCCCTTGGAGCTGGACCTCAGTGTCCAGGCTGAATGATGGGGGTGGAGACGCTCCTTCAGGTATACTTGGCCGAGGCCATTTAGGGCTTTAAAGGTCACTTTGAATTGTACTCGGAAACGTACTGGGAGCCAATGTAGGTCTTTCAGGACCCATGTTATGTGGTCTCTTGAAGGATCATCAGAGTGTGGAGGGTGAAGATTTGGGCTATGGCTGGCTGGGAGGGACAGGAGTGCAGTATTTACTCCATTAAGTTCCAATTAAAGTCTGAGTGAGAAGCGTTGGGGACATAATGCTCACCTTGCCTTTGGGGTGAGCGTCAGAAGTCCAAATGCTTGTATTTCTGAGCCCCAAAATACACAAGTCTCTGCATTATCTCCAATTCTGGTAGTTTATTTGAGAGGTAACGGCTGTAAAATGTGCCCTTTCCTCCCCCCCCCACTTAATTGGCACCATGTGGCTCTTCAGAAACCCAAAAACCATCCACCCCAACATTTACCTAGTTTCCCATTAGACTCCGTTGTTCTCAAGCGATTGCTCTCCGATGCAAATTGGAGCAGGTCATATTCCTGCAGACAGGGAACCCCAGGGCCAGGGAATTTTGCCAGACTGTCTGTTCCCAGATGCTATACCACACCCACGTGCAAGAGCAGAGCCGCAAGCAGCTGGGAAACTTGACAAAACAGGAATGGAATCCCTCGCAGATCTCGCACGTTGGAAGGGCACGACTGCTGAGTGAGCAGGAAGGCAAGAAACAATTCCCAGGTCAGTGATGGGAAAAAAATGCTTCTGGGGTCTAGCCAGCTGCCCAGTGAGGTCTTAGCGGGGCTGTGAAATTGCCACTTGGAAGCTTTCCCATTCAGCTGCAGGGAGACACATTAACCCAACTCTGACAAAATGAAGCGACGGAGGCAAGCCTTATTGGTGACAAAAAGGTAAAGAAGCAAAAACATTTTTGTTTAGACAAGCTTGCCCAGATATGTAGAATGCAGACATATGTTTTAATGTGCTTTTAGCTTATTGCTGACTTTAATTATTTTAGAATGTTTTAAAAACCTGGTTTTAACTGTTTTTACAGATAATTTTACTGTTTTATTCTTCCTGTAAAACACACTGAGGGTTGTTGCTGTTGTTTTTACAATCAGGTGCTATATAAATTTCATGAAATTACAGTCATACCTCAGGTTGAAGACGCTTTGAGTTGAGCGCATTCGAGTTGCGCTCCGCAGCAACCCAGAAGTAATGGAGTGCCTTACTTCCGGGTTTCGCCACTTTGCGCATGTGCAGACGCTCAAAATGACGTCACACACATGCGCAGAAGTGGCGAAAAGTGACATGCGCGTGCGCAGACATGCCATCACTAGTTATGTTTACCTCTAGATGTGAACAGGGCTCCGGAATGGATCCCGTTTGTATCTAGAGGTACCACTGTAATACCAATAAAATAAATAAATTTACTGATGTGATTCAGAATATGGCAAACAAGGGAGCTGTAGTTTGTTAAAGGTATGGAGGGTTAGAAGATCCCCATTTCTCTCACAGAGGTACAATTCCCAGAGTGGAACACAAGGTACTCTGGGAATTGTAGCTCTGTGAAGCGAAAGGGGGTCTCCTGACTACTCTCAGCACCCTTAGCAGACTACAATTCCCAGAATTCTTTGGGGGAAGTCATGAATGTTTAAAGTGTCACCATAGTGTTCTAAATGTATGTCACGAATGTGGCCCAAGCTAGGGAAGGCTGTTCTGCACTGATGGGGGAAGCAACTCCCTGCTGTTTCAAAAAGTGGTTTTTTCCAGCCCTACCAGGAGATGCTGGGGACCCAGGACCCAGGACCAAGAACTTCACCACTCAGCTGCTGCTGTTCCTCTCATCCGCGAGGGAGAGACAAACGAAGAAATGGTGTAGAAGCAAAACGAGATGATCAACGTCCCCCAAGAACTGCCCTGTGCAGGGCAGATGCCTGTTATCTGCTCATCTTGCATTATGGAAGAGTCTGCAATCTTGCAATCACCTGATATTCTCTTCCCCAAAATCTGCTTCTTTCCCAGTCACCAAGAGCAGCCACACACACACAAACACACACACAAAAAGAGTCTGTCATTTGTGCAGAAGGGATTTGCCTTGACAGAAGCATCTGTGGCCTAGCCAGAAGCCAGATGAATGAAGCCACAGTTTGCGAACCAGATTCACAATTCCAGATGGGACTCTTCATGTTAACAGTTTTCAGCTGCCCTAGTGACACAGGCCCAGAGAGGTTGCCTGACGCAGAAGCAACCAGCCGCTATCGCTCCCGACGTCTTGCATAACCCAGACATGTTCTGGGTTGTCCAGGGATAGAATGGAACGACTGTCACCCACAACAAAACACACGCTTGAGAATAAGAAGACAACCTCCCGCTTGACAGGGGGACAACAACATTATATAATTTCACCAAGAGTAACAAGCCACATTCCAGCAGCTACAGTCTCCTCCCTCCCCTTAACTTCCAATACATCTTTATGATGAGCTAATGGCTCACATTTATTTTTTCCTAAAAATGATTTTGCCAAGTCAACAGTCCTTATGCATTCTTTCCAATGGAAGAACACTAGAGGTAACAGCTAACCTAGTTTCGCCACAGGTGCCTTGGGGCTTCAACACTTTCCCCCCTCCCTCCCTCGCCTGCTATGATCCAATCCCTCTGCCTCCTTGTGGCGATCACACAGGGTCCCCGGACGTTTAATGGTTTATTGATCCGTGTGCCACCACTGTGCTCGCTTCCCCGCTGCCACCAACCCATTACTCTCGGGTACACACTGAGTCCAGACAGTTGTTAAAATTGAACCAAATAAACAAGTTTATTTTATAAGTATTAAAAAGTTTATGGTTTCTCAGATAATATTCTTGTCAGTTTCTTAACTTTAGTTTTTTTACCAGCCTATACCTTCCTAATACCTTCTGACTGAATATCTCAACTGTTTGACTGACTCCTCTTAACAGATTCACTCACTCTCTCACATCAGACTAGCCCAACCCACAGACTTATCCTCTCCGTCTCTTCTCTAACTCTAGACTGACTTCTTAACAACTCTAACTCTAACTCCTCCCCTTGGGTTCCTATTGGTTAGTCATTTTACAATTAGTTAACCCTTTCCCTATGAACCCAGTATGATGTCACACACCTAGGAGGGCAAACGCCACACTTCTCCCCACACCTCTAAGGGTTTCCAGAGAAACTGAGTAAGGCTGCTCAAGGCAGCAAACAGTCCCGCTCAGTTTCATTGAGCAAAATCATGGAATTGTGAAGTTGAAGGGGAGGAGGACAGCTCATCTCAAGTGGACTGCCTGCCTCAATTTTTATTTACTCCTTATATTCACTATCCCACCTTTCCTCCAAGAAATTCAAGGCAATGTATGGGTTCTCTCCACATTCCCATTTTATCCACACAACAACGCTGCTAGGCAGTGTGAGCTGAGAAGCAGTGACTGGCCCAAGGTTAACCAGAGTCATGGACACAGGGGAATGGTGGGAGGCACTAGGTGGGGAACCCCCAAGGGAAGAAGGCTGGGGATTGTTGGTGGGATGGTGATGAGTGGTCAGAGGGAGAAGAGAGAAGCCTGGAAGGAGGAGGTGGTGGGAGCTGTGAAGGTAACAAGGTTTAGTGAGCAAGGAGAGTCTCTGGCAGAGAGAAGTCCAGAATCAGACGCTGAAGCAGGAGAGGGGGGAAGCCAAGAGGCAGAGAGCAATCTGGCTGGTGAAGAAGCCCCCTCCTGATGTGACAAGCTCCCCTCACCTGGTCATCTCCTCTGCAGACAGCAAAGAAATTCAGTGGGCAGTCAGCCTCTGCACCCAGTCCTTTCTCGGGCAGCCCACTGGGAATCATGCCCCTCTGGAGCCTTCATGTAAACCTCAACCCCAACATCCCTTCAAAGTTTTCTAAGTTCAGGTGGAAGGCTGGAAGGGCCCCCAATTCATTTGGGGGTCAAAGGGAGGAATGCTTGTGCACCTCCACTCCCATCCTGGTTTGGATAAACCATAGTTGGATCAAACCATAGTTTGATTTAAATCATTGTTAGCTACTCTCTTTCCAGGCAAGAGAAGCCCCTCTCATAACTGTTTACAAATAAATACACTGAAAACACAACTAATTAAGCTAGCTGCATAGAAAACCCACAAATTTATTCCAAATAAATAAATAAATATGATAGTTTTAAAAAAATCACAGCTTCAGAATGCCAGCATGATTATTCAGTGAAAAGCAGATTGGCACAGCCATGTCCTGAAGGTCCATTTAAAAACAGTCAGTTAGGGAGCCAAACACACATCCCATAGGAGGGAGTTCCACCATGATGGTGACACCACTGAAGAGGCCTTGTCCCTTGTGCACATCAACAGGATGGATCTTAATGGCGAGTCAATGAGCAGGACTGTTAATGTTAGGACTGGGTATAATTTTTACAGGTGCAGGCAGCCCTTCAAACAACCTGATTCTGAACAATTTGGGGCTCCAAATGTAACAACCAGCACTTTAAACTGGGCCCACAAATGCATGGGCAACCAACTGGTATGGGACCAGTGCTACATGCTCCTATCGCTTGGCCGACACAAGCAACCAAGAAGCTGCACCCTGCACTGCCTGTAATGTCCAAACTATCATTAAAGGCAGTCCCATGTAGAGTTTGTTGCAATAGTCTTGTCTGGAGATAACCAGGGTCTTCATTTGCCTCCCAACTAAAACTGAAAAGCATGGAAGTGGGGTTGTTGCAAAATGACACACAGAAACACACATTTTTTTAAAAAAAAATGGCCGCCACATTCGTGAGGCTTGCACAATTCAAGCACCAGAGACTTGCACAATTCAAGTAAGCATTTGTGAAAAATGGTGGCCAGGGGGCAGGTGATATTCGCTGCCCATCGAGGTAAGTTGCATCATGAGTTGTGGCAAAAGGAAAAGACCAGCCAATGGTAAGCACTTCATGGAAAGCGTTTTGCAAAAATTCACATGCATACCAAAATCTTTCTCAAACCCACCCCCCTGTCGGATCCCCTTCCAGAGAATTTTTCCACATGGAGGTGTTCTAACCATTACATTTAGAAGCAGCATATGGAAAGCAGAAATCCATCTCCTGGCATGTACAAGACATGGGACTGAATTCAAGACAAGTGAACCTGAGACGGGCGGCACAACAGTTTGGCTTCTTGGAAACCCTGAAAAACCACATAATTCCAGTTATTAAATTGTTTGTTTAAACGAGGATGTAAAAAAAATCCATAAGCCTCAAAAAACCACAGGTTCCTCCACGCTCTGATGGAAAACATCTGCAAGTGATCTCTCCGCTCTGAAGGGACAGCTACTGCTTCGCAAGCAGGCTGAGGAGATAGCTAACACTGACCGGTTAAATAATGTGAAGAGCAGAAGAAAGTCGGTGCAAGAATGAAACACAAACCAAAACACTCACCCACCTGGTAAAGAAAGAGGCAATATTCAGAAGCATAAAGTTGGAAGGTACTTTAGAGGTTGTGGTGTCCAAGCCCCTGCTCACTGCAGGACATAACCACAGCATCCATCTACTTAAACAACTCGAATGAAGGAGAGCCCTCCTATATAAAAATCTGGGAAACCAGGAAGCAGACTGGCAGTAGCAATCTAGAACATTTGTAGTCCTACCTGAAAATGCCAGGGCTGAATGTGGGACTTTTAGCAAGGACCCCAGATTCAATTCCTGCCAGCTCTGGTAGGAAACATATATTAAGGTGCAGGTCCAAATAAAAAAGAAGACCCGATGCACTGGAGAGCAGTTGCCAGTCAGAACCGATCATACTGAGCTGCTATAAGGCAACTTCTCATGTTGCTATAAGATACCCATCTGTACAGAACAAGCTGCAAACGTTAAAATCTGCAGATGGCCAGGCCTCTTAAGCATTTCCTCGCAGTTCGCTGCAGGGATTGCATCACAGAATCAATAATACGAAAGGTCTCCAATCCCTATGTCTGCCCGGACTTCTGAAACTTCATCTTAATATGGAGGTTTTTTTATTATTCCAGACGCTTGGCCTCTATTAAAATGGACTCATCTATCATGCCTGTGACTCCAGAATGGTAAAGACAGGCTAGAAAACCTCAGGCATACCAATATTCTAAACAGAGAAGTTTATTTCAATTTTATATGACAGCAAAAAAAAGGTCATGGGCAGCTTCCCCCAACTTTGCACTCACCAAATTTTCTGGACTACAGTGGTACCTCAGGTTACATATGCTTCAGGTTACATACGCTTCAGGTTACAGACTCTGCTAACCAAGAAATAGTGCTTCAGGTTAAGAACTTTGCTTCAGGATGAGAACAGAAATCATGCTCCAGCGGTGCAGTGGCAGCTGGAGGCCCCATTAGCTAAAATGGTGCTTTGGGTTAAGAACGGACCTCCACAACGAATTAAGTACTTAACCTGAGGTACCACTGTACAACTGCAACCAACATACCTCACCATCAGTCACAAAGAGTTGTAGTCCAAAACAATCTCAAAGGTTCCGTGTTGGCTTCCCTTGGTATATAGGACTGCAGGTTTAATTCTTGAACTTTGGGCCAAGTAGCGTGCCTGTAGGCTACCTCCTGCCCTCCTGTCTCTTTCTTCTGCACTATAACAAAAGGCTTCCAGAGACTCTTAACCCTAACTTCCTAGCCGGGATGGACCTTCTATGAAACTAAGGAAACTAAAGTTTCAGGGCACTTTATCCCAGAGGGGCCCCAGGATAAACTTTAGACCACATTGCTTAAAAAATCTGGAGTTTAGTAGACCCAATCTGAGTAGCCCGACTCAAATTGATTGATTTTTGTTGTTGCATAGATTTCAAACATCCCAAAGTTTGAGTGTCAGCAGCACAGATATTGTAAAGGTGTTGTGATCTGTCATGGAACAACCCAATTGAAGAAGATAACTGTGGTTACCCAGACCTCGTTGCTGGTTGTGAAGGACCCCCCCCCCCTCAATGACAGTTTAAGCTTCAGGGCCTCAAAAATGTAGGTCTGCCACTGCTTCCCTGGGAAACTGGTTCACTCCTGGGCTTCAATCCGGGATATGAAACCACATTATAGTACAAGAATAAGTCATGATTTCCTGGTTCAGATATAATAAAAAACTGAGGTTTAACAAACTCCAGAAGCTTTTCATTGCAGTGAGAAAGAGGAGAGAGGAGAGCATGGGGGCCTGATGCTCATTCGCTGTGTAGTACATTAAATCACAGGTTTCTGTTTCATCCGTGGTGGGAAACAGAGGTTCAGCAAACTCTAGAGGCTTTTAATTGCAGCGAGGAGGTGAGGAGAGCATCTGGGTACTAAACTAAGTCTCATTCTATTTGATTATATCATGGTTTCCTGGTTAAGATGCAAGGGGAAACCAAGGTTTAATAAACCATAAGGTTTTTTTATTTAAGGGGGGGGGGAGAGAAAGAGAGGAGGATACAATACCCATTCTATTAGACTTAGACTTGTCCATCTGAATTGGAGCTTTGCCAGACTCACAAATATATTGTCGGCACAGGACACTTTAATATACAATACTAGCTTATATTAATTTCTGTTGGTGAGAAGCATCACACTTTTTTTTTAATAGCACAGAACATCTATTTGAAGCATCAATTTGAAGGATCAAATTAGGTAAAATCTCATGAATCTTGGTGATAGCTCGCATCCAGCTGAGTAGTGCTTTATCGATTTGTATTGTCTGCCCACTTATGTCAAGGACAACTGAAATATTTTATCACGATAAAATAAAATAAAAAGTCATTCCATAACAGGCCATCCTTCTAATTTTATGCTGCCCGCTCCATTTTCTGCTATTTTTATTGGGAACAAAAGTTTCATCTAATCCATTTTAAGAGAGGTGGGGGAGAGAAGATAGCTTAGTTCTTCAGGCTGCTCTATTGCTTTCCTAGCCAAGCCCATATTTATAAAAAGAATATAACTTACCAGTGTGTCCGTATTAAAGCAACAAAAATAAACCTCTGCAAAGTGTTTCAGACATCAACTCTCTTTAAAAAATAAAATAAATCTCAGAATACTTTCAATTATCAGTCTTTTGGCTGTCTACTCTCTCCCATTTAGACTATGCTTTTACGCACAAAGAGTTAAAAAAAATGTATAAGTCTCCTGCCATTAAAACAGGAACAGTGAACCTGTAGCCCCACCCTCGGCTGTGGTTGGATTACAAGTCCCACCATTCTTGAGTACTGGAGTCCAACAACATCTGGAGGGCCACAGGTTTTCTAACTCTGCCTTAAAAGGTCAACACCAGATGGCAAAAAAATATTGTCAGAGAACATTCTCTCTCTAAGTATGGAGGGCTAAAGTTGTATACAGCTATATCAGCTAGCAGCAATTCACATAAGCAAAATTTACTGGTCATTTATTTACTTATCAGGAAACTTTACAGACCACTAACCATTAGCAAATATCACGGTGCTGTACAAAAATAAAAAGACAACACATAAGAGTGGTTTCCCAAAAGAAATCTGATACTGACCATGAGTCAGCTCATCCTTCTAGGAAAGCCAGTAGAAGAAACAGGAAAGCTTTTAGCACCCAATGAAAGGTCTATGATGTTCGAGGCTGTTGAACTTCAATGGGCAGTGTGTTATGCAAAGTAGGTGTTACTGCACTGAATAACTCCGCCTGAGTCACCATTAAATGAAATTCTGGTGTATGTGGTACCACCAGAAGGGCCCCAATAGATGACTGCAGAGAAATAGCTCACACAAATTCTTGTCAAATCTCTTAAGCCCACAAAACTATGTTGGACAACTTCCCAGGGTCCTTATTCCTACTGTCCCTTCAATATCTGAGACAGCATATGCAGTTTTCAATTGGTTCCTAAATAAAAACTAGACAGAATTCAAAAGCATTACTGCCTCTGACCATGGAGGCAGAGCACAGAGCTAGCAGCCATTGATAGCCTTTGCCTCCATGCATTTGTCTGGTCCTTCATCAGAGTTGGTGGCCATCACTGCATCCTGGGGACTCCAACTCCCACTAGCCCCAGCCAGCACTGTCAAGGGTGATGGGAGTTGAGTCCAGCAACATCTGGAAGGTCACAGGATGCCCCATCCCTGGCCTATTCCGTCTGGAAATGGCTCTCAGGTAGATATCTGTCCCACCATTTGCTACCTGGAAATTAACAGACTGGAAATGTATGTCTAATTAACATCATCAACCTGGGACTTGCAATAATTATGTTGAACAGAGCACGAAAGGCGGGAGCACCAAATTTTAGCATCTCATAGGGCGTTGCTGAAATTTCAGGGTCCAAAATCTGCCACTGCTTTTCCTTGCATGTGCTCTACCATGAAGCCTTCCTAGTGTGGGTTGATAATCTTTCCAGCTAACATTGCATATTGAACGGCAGTCATCTTGGTGTTTCACGTGACTGGGGTGGGGGGTGGGGAAAGGATTTACCTTGCAGCTATTTTTGACTTTTCAATAACTATCACAAGCTCTTCAAAGCACTTTCTGAGAGAGCTGTCTGTCATGTATCATTGCTTGATGCATGCAGCATAAACCGGCTGTGCACAATGGAATGCCTCCATCTGGGTAAGAAATTGGAAAGTAAAGCCTTCATGATATTTGGGAGCAGCTCAGGGGTTGCAAACAGTTTCCAGGGGAGACACACACACAAAAAGTAAGAATAATAATTCAAAAGCACAAAAGGGAAACTCAAGCAAGGACTTGTCCAAAAGCAACATTAAAACAAAAAACTACAAACTACAAACCTAAAGTTACACAGAATGACATCAGCATTGTGCTACGATGTTCCAATATCTTTCCCCCAGACACATTTGGAATAAAACATTCAGGCTGAAACTCTCTCTTCGCTTGAATTCAAGCAAAGCTCCTACTGGAATCGATGGCTTCTCCCCCACCTTGGTTTTTACTTCCTGGCCTGAGGATGTAACCTTTCTACCTCCCTCAGACTTAGAGAATGAGTCCCTAATGATATTGCATTAGAACCCTGTTATGTACTGAGCTTGGATCCTAGAACAATAGGCAGGTAGGATCCTAGAAAGCAGCAACCTGATTGGTCTGCAGGAGCCGCCCAATCCGGCTCCAGGAGGAAGTGAATCAGCAACCTGATTGGCCTGCAGGAGCAGTCCAATCAGGCTCCAGGAGGGGAGTTGAATCAGCCAATCACGCAGGACCCATTTTGGGGGAAAGCACTCACTCACTCACTGTTTACCATGAGCTGAAATAAAGAGCATGAAATCAACACTCAACTCCGAGTATATTTCAAACCGGTAAGAAGCCTGCAAACAGGATATGAGCACAACAGCAACACCTGAAGTTCCCAACAACAATTCAGAAACATAACCATAGCCATAATGGTTAGTAGCCACGGACAACCTTATTCTCCCTGAATTTATTTAATCCTGTTTTAAAACTATCCAAGTTGGTGGTTCTCACTGTCTCTTGCTGGAGCAAGTTCCAAGGTTTGTCTATGGTCTGCCTGAAGAAATACTTGCTTTTCTTCCCCTCCATCATTCAGTTCTAGTATTATAAGAGAGGAAGAAAAACTTTTCTTTATCCACATTCTCCATGCCATGTATAATTTTACAAACTTCCATCTTGTCACCTCTTACTTGCCCTTTCTCAAAACTAATCCTACTTCTTCCACAAGTGGGAGCAACTGCAGCCAGCAACTGCAGAATGGGGCACAGTCAACTCCTCCAAGGAGGTGGAGTAAACAGACTTGGGCAGTCTTCTTAAGTCTTCAGGGGATCTCAGATCAGGGGATCTCAGATCTTTGTTGAGATCTTCTTCCCACTGCTCAGCCAGTAAGGGGCCACTGGGAGCTGTCCATTGTCCTAGCTTCTTCTTAAAACAACTTGCCTTGTCATTATTTGTCTCAAAGAAACTAAAGTCTAATGGTTTCCGCTTCCCCTGAGAGCGTCCACCCTGAGAAGAACAGGATACCCATTGTGGAAGAAAGGCAGGGTGGAAATGGAATTAATAAAGAGAAAACAAGAATTCTGAAATGAAAAAGCAGACTTTTCCCATTACATGCAAATATGTTATAGCAGGCAGCATCATAGAAGAGGAATTCCCTCCTGTGTATGTGAGAGAAGGAGAAACGCTGCTTCCAAAATGGTTCTTGCTATCTGCAGTTTTTATAACTACCTGTATCAAAATTATGGTATTTGCATATCTATAAGTATTGTCCAGTTAATCAAGAACACTTTAAAAAATCAATCAAAGTAGGAATGGATGGACCCATTAATGTCAGGATGAGAAAAAGTCTGTCCCCTTCCATTTTCCAGGAAGATATTTAATGGAATTTCATTTAAAAAAACAACAATCTGCACAGAAACATATTTTTTAAAATAAGAACATGGGAGGAGGCCTAAGGGTTGTGCACTGTCCATGGTCCTCCAATAATGTTTCCTTCACTAAGTGCCCAGGGCCTGGAGCAGCTACCATAGAAGCCAACAACTAGGGGCTGAGAGGGCTTTGGTCCCCCCATAAAATATTTGAAGGGTCTGCCCCCCAAAGTTGATGGGCATTGCCATTCTAATGGAGTATGTGCACCACATTATGTGAAGAAGAAGAAGAAGGAGGAGGAGGAGGAGGAGGAGGAGGAGGAGGAGGAGGAGGAGGAGGAGGAGAAGAAGGGTTTGGATTTGATATCTTGCTTTATCACTACCCTAAGGAGTCTCAAAGCGGCTAACAATCTCCTTTTCCCTTCCTCCCCCACAACAAACACCCTGTGAGGTGAGTGGGGCTGAGAGACTTCAGAGAAGTGTGACTAGCCCAAGGTCACCCAGCAGCTGCATGTGGAGGAACGGGGAATCAAACCCAGTTCACCAGATTACAAGTCTACTGCTCTTAACCACTACACCACTACACCACACTGTGATTGATTATGCAGGGCGGGGCTCACCTGGGTCTCCCCAATATTTTATTCAAGTTGGCACCCCTAGCAGCTACTGCATAGGGCTTCTTGCCACTGCTTGCTTTAAGAACAAATATGGCAAGGACTCAGTGCCGGTGTGCTGAGCAGGTCTTAACGTAGTTGTGCTCAAAGTGTGCAGCAGCAAGAAGCCCTGCCTAAGCCCTGGGTAGCCAGAGGCCGTATTTTGAAAAGTTTAAAAGATGAAGACATTTTTAGGAGGCAACGCGCAACTCTTGGTGATCCATGAACTGATCTGACTCATGATCCACCCAGATTCAGTCAGGGGTGTCTGCTTTCCTGAATCTGAGCTCAATCCTTCCCTATTGCTAATCAAAACTGTTTAATCAATCAAACTGCTTTTATCAGTTAACCATGGCAGCCATCTCTCTCTCTCTCTCTCTCTCTCTCTCTCTCTCTCTCTCTCTCTCTCTCTTTCTCTCACACATACCCGCACACACAAAAGGATTGCTGACCTCTGACTTGGCTATTCCAAGCAATATCATTTGGGGGGGGGGGGTGTTTCTGAGGGACTCCATGTTTCTGATATTGCAACAGTGCCCCAAACAACAGCCTTTTAAAAATATATGCAGAAAATCAGCATTTGGATAATCTCCCTCCTTCTTCAACAAAAAAAGCTCATCCTGATTTACAAGTGAAATTTGGGTGTTAAAGCAGAAACCAGTATTGAATTTAAACCATGCGGAGTGTGTGTCCCCCTAACCTTGAGTGGCAGCACCTTTATCTATTGTTTAAGAAGAACATAAGAAGAGTCTTCCTGGATCAGACCAAAGGCCTGTCTGGTCCAGCATCCTGTTTCACACAGTGGCCAACCAGCTGCCTCTGGGAAACCCACAAGCAGAACAGAAAGACACTAGCCCTTGCTTGCTATTGCTCCTTGGGAAACAGTAGTCCTGCTGCCTCTGATCCTAGAGATTTGCATATAGTTATCAAGACAGCTCATTATTCCCCATGAATTTATGTGGTTACCTTTTAAAGCTGTTCAAGTTGGTGGCCATTACACATCTTGTGGCAACAAATTCCACAACTAGGCACGGTAAAAGTAAGCACATCCTTATTGGCTACAGGGAGGTCTTGATATGGCTAAAATTGTGGGGAAGGGCTTAAGGATTTATTTAAGGGTGTCCATATTCTCCATTCCACACCGCTGCAGTTTGAGCACAAATCGAAACTCTTGATAATTCAGAAGAAATGAACACAAAATATTGTGGAGGGGAACGTGTGGCCCACCAGATATTGTCAGACTACAAAGCCTATCATCCCGGACCATTGGCCTTGGGGACTGGGGCTGATGGGAGTTGTAGTCCAACAATATCAGAAGCGCTGCAGGTTCCCCACTCTTGGATTATATATATGGATAAAACTGATAAACTTTGGGACAGATAGGACCCCAATCCAGAGAATAAAAATAATGTGTGGAAACATCTGGACTGTGCAAATGCTCTTAGAAGTTTGCTAGGGATGGAGGAGGGTTGAGAGGACCTTATCCCAAAGTCCAGATAAAAGATGTGTGATGTCTTGCACAATCCAGTGTGTATGTTTTCGCACAAGTTTGTGTGGAAGCTTGGTGACCACAAGTACAGCCAGTGATGTGTGATGCTTGCGCTATCTGGGCTGAAGAGCCAATGTGAACAAATGCAATCTGCCTCTAAGGTTTGAGATTATTGTCGTCTTAGCTTCTTCCAATATGATGCTTAAAAGAATTCAGTCTAAACTGAATGCTCTGGGGAAAATTGCCTGGGACAATGCACCTTCACAACACAGTTCTCCAGAATTTCTATAGGCAAAGGGTTGAATGACAGATACATGCTTTCTGTACAACTCTTTTGAAACTCAGTGCTTACTCCATTGGCATACAGATAATGAAAGTCAAAGAGAATTTAAGGGCGATGGACAGACTTGGAAAAGGAAACAATGGAAGGCCAGGCCTGATTGACTCCCTGCCGACTTCCATGTGGCATCTTTTACTGACAAGCTGCTTTCAAGAGGACAGCTTTCCATCAGACAGACACAACGGGAGATGGAGTGCGAAGCACAATACTCACCCTCCTTCAAAGATCTTGATCCGGGCTGGCTCCCCCCGTTTGGATATGGGAATGTCGTCTTCTGGTTTTCCTCTTTTCTCCTCTTCCTTTTCAGTTCTCATTTCGTCCTTTCGACCTTCGTTGGGGAGGAGCGAAGGCAGGTGAACCTACCTCGCCAAAGGATGAAAGTAACGGTTTTATTATTCTTCCAAAGGCTTGTTACCAAAGACAGACACCTTGGACAAGGCTCTCTCTCTCTGGAGAGTCGGGGAGGAAACCCAGCAGCCACGCTAACTTCAGTGATAATTAAGTGAAAGATTTAAACCTGGTTTGGAAGGTTCTCATTTTAGACCTGGTGATACCGGTCCGAGCTGCATGGGGTGGGTGGGAACAAGCAATGGGGCAGAACAATTGCTTTAAAGTTGCATAAAAAGAACCTGAGGAATCTGGACTGAGGACTCTGCTTGGTTTGCATGACCCTGTGCATTTTAGGAGTCGTACAGGAGATCACCGGACACAAGAGCAGCTGCGAGTTTTTCTACTGTGCAGTGAGTTCTGCACCTCCCACCTTCACTGTCCAGCCTCAAGACTGAACTCCAGTCCTTCCTCTCCACTCCTTCTCAGATTTCAGGTAGACAGTCTGTCCCCAGCTGCCACGAGCATCTTGTATGGATAACTGTTCAAGCATTCATTCAGCGCTTGAAGCGGGAAGGGACAGGGCATTTCTGAACACTTCTGTCATTAGCATGCAGGACTAAGACCTGGTAGATTGGGGGTTCAGGTCTCCACTCAGCCACTAAACTCACTGGGTGACTCTGGAACAAGTTGTGACCAATGGGTATGGGGCTGAATCATGAACACCCACCCCAGCATCTCCCTGGCACTAAGAATCAAAACCTTCTGACCGGTCAAGGCCTGGGAAATCAGGTGGGAGGGTAGAACAGGATCCCCAGTGCCCAGGAATCCCTCGTCAGCTAGATAACTCTTTCTACAGGACAAGGGAAGAAAGGAAGTCAGGTATGAATCTGGTTAAGTTGCTGGGACCGTTCTCCAAAAGCAATCTGGATTTCATTTAAATTTTCGTACTGGAGCGATGCCTTTAGCATGCTTTGAAGTTAACCAGTCCAGCACACAACCACCCCCTCCCCACAAAAAACAAAACCAAACCAAACATACCCCAAACATCCCTCTTTGAATGACCCCCAAGTGGTTCTAAGCATTTGATCTTCTTTTCATCTCATTGGAAAATAGCCCAAACACAGCTTTTTCTCCAGGACAGTCGTGTAACGCTATGATTTCTAGCATGTCTTCATAAACAGCAGCTATGTTTACCCCAGACTGATCTGTACCGTGTGAAGCTCTTCTTAAGTGGCAGACTGTCTTGGATCTGCTCTAGCGATGAATGAACCTGTCCATTTCAGTTTACCTCCATTTCTCATTTTCCCAAACTTAAGATGGCAACTTAAGAAACAAAAAGCGTATATGAAAATTTGTGTGCATTTTAACGCACATTTCTCCTAATATGTACATTTTTGCATGCATCTTTCCAGGCAAATTTCCCACAGTACGATGCAATCTGGCACATTATTTTCACTTATCCAGTTTTGTTCACACATTTCCCTAATATATCCACTTCTATCCACTTCTATATTTTAATGGCAGCATCCACGTCAATTCTTACAAAACAGGTGAGGACAAAAGGAAAACCCAATTTCCTTACCTCCGACATTTTGGGGTTCCCGGCGCTTGAGGGCACAAGCCTCCCTGCCTCTGGACGTGGAGCAGCAGACATGGTGTAGGTTTCTTTGCTCACCTTTTGCTTGGAGCGCAGGAGTGAAAGGGCTGCTTTGGTGGACACACCGGGGAGGTTGGGATTATACAAACTAACGCACCAGCCGGCATACACCGAGGACCTTCGGTCAACTTGCTGAATGTGATTTGGCTTTGTGTAATTTAAATAGCACCAACTGACATTAGTAGTTGTATGGAGACTGGGGAACTGAAATACCTTCTTGACATCTGGCCCCTCTTGGGACTTCTTTGAACTTTGGGCAGCCTCAGAACGAAGAGCTGGACTTGGGGAGGTTGTTGCAGGTGGCTCCACAGGCTCTTTCAAATCTTCTTTCTTCACCATCTGCGGGGATTCCTTGCTTTGCAACTGCTTGCCAGCTGGATGCTTAGACTCCTCTCGCCCCTCAGAGCTCGAGACCTCAGGCTGTGGAGAGGCTGGCCATAAAGTTCCCTGGACTTCTTCCAACTCAGACTGCTCAGGCGATACGTCCGGGGGCATTTCTGACTTGACTCTCCTTTGGTTGTGCTTCTTCCCTTCCTCTGTTGCACTGGGGGCCACCGCTGCTTCCGACTTCTCCTCCATCTCAGAGAACTCTTCCTCCTTCACCCTTTTTTGCTGCTGGGTTTCCATCGTGAGTTCCAAGCTTCCAGCCGGAGACAGCATCCGCTTGCTTCCTCCGACAGTCGACGGACTCCCTTCAAGATCCAACAGGCTTTCGGATGGCGAGCCAAGAGGAATGTAGCCTTTCTTTTCCGAGAGTGACAGCGGCAGCCTTAGGTAGGGTGTCTGGAAGATGCTCTTCTGCTCTTCGGTGATCATCTGTGCCAGATCAAGGCCGATTCCGTGAACGTTAGCGGTGCAAACCAAGGTACCCTTGGCCTCATACTCATCAAATCTGGGCAGGATGATAGAAGAGGCGCTGCAGTGTGACTGAGTGACCAGGATCTGAGAAAGGGTTGTATACATTGCGCTTCCGTAGGAGGGCATGTTCGTCTGAATGCGAACTGGGACCACTAGCGACACGACAGGCTCAGATCGTGCAGGCACCACCAACTGAGAGATGGAGACAGATGCAGAGGGGCTGCTAGGCCGGGCCAAAATATGCAGTCTGCTCTCAGAGCTGTAGTCTGCAAATGGGGAAAAGATGGGACTTCCGGTGGGTGGAGAGAGCCTGGATTTGAGCTGGGGCAAATGGGCACCAATGTCACTTGGCAACTGAAGAGCAAGCTGGGAATGGAGGGGCAGGAAAAAGGCAGAATGAAGCGGTGGGGAGCCTGGGTAGTGCACAGGGACAAGGGATGGGCTCTGCCTGAGTGCCACGTCGCCTGGGTGGGACAGCAGCGGAGGGGCAATGTGAAGCTGGCCTGGGTGCAGCAAAGTGTCTTGCAGCGGGATGGCTGCATTCTCAAAGATGGAGTGCGGTATTTGCGGGATGGAATACTGAGCGGAAAAGAGGTCGGTCATTGTCTGGCTGGAGAAGAGCTCCACCGTCTGTCCCGATGGTGGCAAAAGATGCTGGAATGGCAAGAGAGAAATCTGCGGGGCCATGTACTGTTTTTCGTGGAGCGTCAATTGCGCCGATGGGTGGTGAAACACCTGCAGAGCTTCAGTGTAGGGATGGGTATATGTGCGCTCAGGGCAGTCTTTTGGCTCACCCTTGTCAGCCGGGTAGCCTCTTTGAGAAGAGGAGGAGGAAGAGGACGGTGGTTGCTGCTGGGGCAAACTTGCAGCTGAAGATTTGCTTGTAGACAGCAGCAGCTCTTCCGTTTCTGTCCCTCCTTTGGAGCCAGAGTCCGGCTCGTGCTCTGGGTGCCCAGCAAGAGACGCCTGCCTCACCAGGAAACATTTCCTCCTCTCCTGTGCTGCTGATGTTGTTGGTGGGCGGGGCAGGGAAGTGGGAGAGGAGGAGCATAAGCTCCCATAGTCAAATGATTTGCTGCGGGTCTCCGACATTGGAGAGGAGGGAGAGACGTTGGGAGTCTGCTCAGAGACGGACCTCCGCATTTCTCGGGTAGGGTGGTGAGGGTGGTGGTGGCCTGGCACTGTTAGCATGTGTGGGCCGAGCCCAATAGGTTTTATGTGGGATTCAGAGGACTGGGAAGCAGCTTCCTCGCGTTCAAATGACGTTGAGCGGCTGGAGGCATGGGAGATGCTGCTCTCCTGACTGGGGCTCCTCACTGACTCAAAGCTGGATTCTCCAGAAGACTGAGCCATTTCTGCAAGCCTCAGCCTCTTCTTTTTGGGTGGCAGCTTCTCTGCAGGAAGCTGGGAGAGAGACTGGCTTCTCTGTGGCCACTGAAACTCCTCCGTCTTCTCCGGCTCTTTAGGGGGAGGTTCGGGCTCCGTCTCTGGCCTGTCCGGCTCTTCTGTGACCAGGATCTCAGGGACTTGGATGTTGGGTTGACGCACAAGCTTTGGCTGCAGGGAATGAGTCGGCCGGCTCTGCTGTGCAGCTGACTGAGAAGTGTAGGGCAACGACAGCTTTTCCTCCCCTTCCAAGCTGCTCAGTTGTTCAATAGAATCCGACTTCTCAAAGGAGCTTGTGTGCTGGATGACAGAGATCTCCTTTGAGGTCGTCCTCCTCTCCTTGACCTCCGTACCAAAAGATGGTTTTGTAGTCCTAGAGTGGAAAGTGACACCGGCGTCAGAGAGCGGCATCGATTTGCTGAGGTCTGCTGGTGACGTCATGGACTCGGAAGTCAGGTTCAAGGCCACATCAGTGGGTTTCAAGCTAGTAAACTGAGCGGCTGCCCCAGAGCTACAGGAAGATGGACTGGTCAACTCAAAAGCCGGGGGGTCCTCATCATCACCGAGGCTCTTTTCCTTACGCCTTTTCCTCAGCGGAGTTAGTTCTAAACTTGTCCCCAGCTTATAATGCATCATCTGTGGCCAAGGATCAGATTCTACGGAACCCTTCTCGGCTTCCAACGAAAAATGAGAACTGGAAGATCGGGGCTTGGAGACCTGCAGTTCTGAACAGTAATACTTCTTGTGGGCTTCGTAATTATCCCGTTTCTTGTACCGAGCACCGCAAACGTTGCACTCGTACATGAACCCTTTTGTTTTCGCGCCCTTCCTTGACTTTTTTGTGAGCTCGCTCTCCTTGGTTTCTTGTTCCTCAGGAGATTTGGAAGTGCTTTCTTTGCTCGCCGTGCCCACATCCTCCGAACCATACTCCACCCCCAATGGAAGTTCGATGGCGGGCTGCCGTTTTAGCATGCGTGGGTGGGAAGACACCTGACCGTGGCTTTGGACCTCCGATTCGGTGATGTGGTCATCGAAAGAGTAGCTACCTCTAAAGGTATGGGAGGAGCTGATGGTGCACGCAGCTGAAGGCATAGAGTGGCTTCGTAGGAGAGGCACTGTCTCTGTGGCACTGTGGGAATGCTGGAGTGATAGCAACGATTGTTCAGGCTTCATTTTTTCCATGTGGGGCATCAGTGACTTGGATGAATCGAGCTGGCTACCGGAGCCGGGTTTGATTTCTAACGCAAAGGGCTCTCTGTACGGGCCGGACTTTGGCGATTCAATGCTGCTGCGTCTGGACAATGAACTTCTCCTGGGCTTGACGCTATCGATCTCGCTGGTGTCAACAACGGCTTCGTTAATAGTGATCAGTTTGGTGATATGTTCAATAACCTGCGTTCTGGGCACAGACAAAGGAACTGTGCTGAGTTTCTCCTCGGACGATACTTGGGGAAATTCCTGGGCAGTGGCTGCCGCTAACATGGAAGTCCGTTGGCCAATTCGCCCACATTTGCCAAAAATAATCTCTGCATAAGACTTGGCGTTGGTGTTTGGTGGGCTGATTTGCTGCTCGGCACTCTCTGACCTGGAGAAATAGCCGGATTCTGTGCTCCCTTTGCTGCCAGGACTAAGGAAAGCCTGTTCCTCAATCACCTTCTTTCTTTCACTCAATCGAAGAGCGAGTTTCTGCTTGATAGTATGCGTTTCCTCCGATTTATGACTTAGGGCATGCTCCGAAGCCGGCTCCACAAACGGGCTACTTTCTTCCAGAGACTGAGACAGGCTGGAGTGAGAAAACGAGCAGCTCTCTAGGCTAGAGCTCTGGCTTCCCGACCCGTACAACATGGTTTGCTTTCTCCGGGGCAACAGTTCTGCCAAATGGCTCGGCGCGCTCCTGGTCTCCTCCTCCGAGTCGGTGCTTTCACCCTCGGTGGGCTCTTCAAATTCCTCTCCGGCCATCTTCTCCATTTCCAAACCGGAAGGGTACAGCTCGGTCCCAGTCCCCGAGGCGAGACCGGCTTTGATCCGGTGAGCGTGAGACTTCCGATGTTTATACAGATTGCTCTTGGTTTTGAAGGAAAAGCCGCAGGGGACGCAGGGATAGGGCCGCTCCCCTGTGTGCGAACGGATGTGTTTCTGGAGGACGCTGGGCTTGGCGCAAGGCCGGCTACAGTACTGGCAAATGTATTTGCCGGGTTTCTGGGGTTTCTTCTCTTTCTTGTGGCCTTCTTCTGAGGATTTCAAGGAAGCTTGCGAAGCGCGGGGAGTGTAGACCTTTGGAACAGAGGGCATGTCCTCTTCGGGGACGACAGGAGGACGGGACGGCAAGAGCTGGCCAGGGTGAAGCCCAGAGGATGGAAACGAACTGGAGGGACCTGCTCTGGCTGGGTCAACTAGCTGCCATGTCGTGGGGCCTTCAAGGACATGTTCCTGCTTCCGGGGAGGCATGAACGCTGGCGACAGGGGGTGCTGCTGAAGCTGGGAGATGTGCGGAGGGCGTTCAAAAGAGGGGCGTTTGAGCTGGGCTGGCCCTGTCTTCTCCTGGGCCTCCTCCCTCGAAAAAGGCTGCTGTGCTGCAACGTCCCGGAGGGGAGAGCCTTGCAAAGGAGCCGAGCTCCCCGGATAGGTAGCGGTGGACGAAACACTGCTTTGGAAAGCCTGTCCTTTGACAAGCCTCCTCCTCGACCCTTCCTCGCCCTTCTTTGTGCTCCTCTGGCTTTGTTCAGGATCCATGACCTTGGAAAGGGAAAGGCGAGGAGGGGGGAGATGGTCCAAGGAATCTATTTCGGGAAGGTGTCGGCAGGCTTCATGGATAATGAAGGAAGGACTCCTCTGTGTTAGCTCGCCGGCATTTGCTGCGGGGCTGCCAAAGGTGGCGGCCAGAGAAAACGGTTGTTGACTCGAGATTTCAAAGCGTCACTCGCTGCTGTTTGATTCGGGGGGGGGGGAGGAACAGAGGGTGGGGAGGGAACAATGAAAAGGAAAAAAAAGGTTGGTTGAGGGTCAAGAGAGTTCACACTGGTAAAGCATGACAAACTACTTCAAAGCAGGAAAACGGTCCAAAACCTGTAGTCCAAATATTTTCCTTGTGGATTTTGCAGAGGCTTTAAAGCGGGCCATTTTTATCACCGTTGATGGTGGCAAGCCTTCAAAGAGGAGAAGCAACCCAGAACATTGCCTCGGGTCCTTTTTCTCATGCAAACCTTGGTAAACGTGAGGCTCCCATGCTCATCTCGCAGCCATCTTTCTCCTTGGCTTGGAAAAACAGCACTTGGCAGTCCTCTGTTTCTCTCCGCATGTGTGCCCTGATTCCTTCTTTGCTTTCCTCTTCTTCCCCTTTGCCGTTCAGAGACCTCGGGAACCAGACCGATCACAATCCTGCAAGGACATTTGTCAAAGAGGTGAAAACACACACAAACACACAATTGCTACCGTTTGCATTCATCATGTTTTAAAGCAATCCAATACAGTGGTGCCTCGCAAGACGAAATTAATTCGTTCCGCGAGTTTTGTCGTCTTGCGATTTTTTTCGTCTTGTGAAGCACGGTGTCGGGAAAGTTATGGAAAAGCTTCAAAAATCACCAAAGTCTTTAAAAACCTCAAAAAGGCTACCACACCGCGTTCTATGAGTTGCTCCTCGAAGTCAAGTCGCAACTGTATTAACGGTGTTAAGAAAAAGGAAACAAACTCGCAAGACGTTTCCGTCTTGCGAAGCAAGCCCATAGGGAAAATCATCTTGCGAAGCAGCTCAAAAAACAAAAAACCCTTTTGTCTAGCGAGTTTTTCGTCTTGCGAGGCATTCGTCTTGCGGGGCACCACTGTATTCAGAGTACATAGGAGGAACATAGGAAGCTGTCCCCTACCAAGTCAGACCATTGGTCCATGTGGCTCAGTTCTGTCTGCACTGACTGGCAGTGGCTCTCCAGAGTTTTCCCCAGCCCTCCCTGGAGAGGCCAGTGATTGAACCTGGGATCTTTTGCATGCAGAGCAGGTGCTCTATCCCTGAAGGAAAGTCCTTCCCCAATGGAACTGAAGACAACAGAACTCCCCTTTTGCATAAGCAGGCAGTGGATCATGCTTCCTGGCAGCAATCCTAGGCAGACTTATTGCAGTTAAGTTCTCCCACACACACACACCATGCACACTTTTTTTAAAAAAGTGCTAATGAACATAATCCAGGGCAGTAGATGTATTCCAGAAAACATGCACAGCCAAGATGACCTCAGACTGTAAACAGTCACCTGCACTTGATTACTCAAAATTAACTTTGATTCCGCCCCGCTTCCTGCAGCTGCTGTGAGCTAGACAATTTATAGGTTAGATATTTGCATTTATTTATTTTTTCATTTAAAGAAAATCCTGTTCCCTCGTGAATGTCAGAAACCTTATCCAACCGAAGGGGCAAATAAGTGCTGCTCTGGGGTTTGCCTAGAAAAGGCAGGGAAATGAACAACATGGAAGGCCTTTAATAACAGAAAATGCGCAAATGCAGATTGTGTTCTCATCGTCTTTATGATATCACATAGAGTCGACCTTTATGGTATCAGAACTCTGGAGCTGTGGCTTGCACAATCAGCAGGAACATTGTGAGGGCTGCACGCCAGTAGCTTGCATGGCCACAGGCAAAAGTGGGTATGGCAACAGATACAACTTACCTTTGTACAGTTCTGGCCATGCAAACATCAGAGGTTTCCGGACACATGTACAAACACACCTCTCCATTCTCTACCCAGGCAAGCGAGAGGCATTATCACAGTTCAGCAACATGTTCCAGACAGGCAAAAAGACCTGAGGTGGTTGTGGAGCAGGGCTGGGGAGCTGCGTAGCCTGGGAAGAATCCTGAGGGCCAGACAGAGAGGCCTGGAGGGCTGAAATTTCCCCCCTGAGGTTCCCCACCCAATCTACACTACTGTCTTCTGACCTGTTTGCCCATAGTTGATTTGGGGCAGCTACAGAGGAAGAGGGGCGGGGCCACCACTCAGGGGTAGTCCCTGCACTTCATATGCAAAAGGTCCCAGGTTCAGTCCTTGGAAACTCCTATCTAAGGAGTCAAGTGCCCAGTATAACTGAACGAGCATCTCCACCCCCATCGTTCAGCCCGGACACTGAGGTCCAGCGCCGAGGGCCTTCTGGCGGTTCCCTCATTGCGAGAAGTGAAGTTACTGGGAACCAGGCAGAGGGCCTTCTCGGTAGTGGCACCCGCCCTGTGGAACGTCCTCCCATCAGATGTCAAAGAAATAAACAACTATCTGACGTTTAGAAGACATCTGAAGGCAGCCCTGTTTAGAGAAGTTTTTAATGACTGATGTTTTAATGTATTTTTAATCTTTTGTTGGAAGCTGCCCAGAGTGGCTGGGGAAACCCAGCCAGATGGGTGGGGTATGTATGTATAAATAAATAAATAAATAAATATTGTTATTGTTATTGTTATTGTTATTAATGTAGAAGACCCCCCTAAATGAACTCCTGGAGAACCACTGCCAGCCAAAGAAGGTGAAATATCGGGCTAGTTGGGGAAATAGCCTGACCTGATATGAGGCACCTGCCGATGTTCCTAGAAGGTGATTTCTCATCATTTCTCTGAGTAATTGCTAACCTTCAAACCGTGACACATTGTAGATAGCAGCACTATTGTGACGTCTCCAGGCTCATCGTTTCTGTGGAAAGAGAAAAACAATTTGCTCCAAGTTTGCTTCACTTTTAACCAACTGGGGGGGGGGGGGTTTGCAAACATGTGAAGACCCATGGGCCATTTGATGCAATAAGAGGCAAGCAACATAGTGCTCTTAGGATGCTGCTGGATACCAGCTCCCATCAGCCTCAGCTAGCAGGAGTGCCAATGGACAGGGATTTGCTGGGATTTGCTGTCCAATAACTTCAGTCCATTGCTCCTGCCACAGACACTTCTTTTAATAAACATCTGTGGCAACAAGACACTCATTTCAATCAATCAATGGCCAACAGCTGCTTCCGCCAACCCAACAATCTGTGACTCAACCAGGGATGGGTGTATCAGTCTATTTCTTGACTCTCACGTGAATTCACACTCAAATCTGTTCCATCCTGTTTCCGCATTGATCTGTATATATATTTTTAAAAGCATAGACAAAAAACGGCATTTAAATACGTATTGCTGTTTTGTCTCAAAGCAATCGTGCATTTCTGAAGCTGAGAGCATTTGAGGAATGTGAACCCTGGGGAATTAACTGTGAGTTGTGTCCAATGTTGCTCATAGATGAAAATAATGGACATGATTAACTTTCTACCTCCTGTCACAGGGGCTGGCCCTGGGCATTTCTATCCTCATGGAAGGTAAGTCTATTGGTTCCCAGCTGCCATAATGGCTATGTTCTACCTCCACCGTCAGAGGCTGTATGCCTCTGAATGCAGCTTCTGGGAATCACAAGTTGGGAGAGAGTGTTGTGCTCTCAGGTCTTGCTCACAGGCTTCCCACAGGCATCTGATTGGCCATTGTGAGAACAATGGACTAGAAAGCCCTTCAGTTGAATCCACCAAGACTTTTCTAATGATCGTATGTGCCTGAGTATGTCCTATTGTGCCTGGGGATGGTTCCAAGGCCTGAGCACACACAACTCCCGACTGAAACCTCAGAACCTTCAATTACTAGCTTCACCTTCAAGTTCTCTCCCAACAGCCCTGACAGATAGGGCAATTGTTCTCTAGCAAGCCAAAGGTCCTGGGTTTTTAAGACTGGACTGAAAGGGAGTTCTCAATAGAGTTTTCAGCTCAGCCCAAGTAACCACTGATTGCTAGGGTGGTTTTATCTTGTCTTATTTCTACGATGTCATTTTTGTGGTAAACACTGACCATGGAAAATATTGCACATTAAACACACAAGAGCACACACACAAACAAATCCAGGACACTACGGCCTTGGTAAAACTCATTGAACGGACTGTAACTATTCCATCAAGGACCCCACCAGCACAAATGAATGCAACAGTGCCTTGATCAACAACACACACACACAAACACTCACACCCCTGCTCCATTTAATGGCAGGAGGGTGAGGAATACTTACAACGAATTTGATTTCTGCAGCTCTAACGGTGCTTGCACTTTCCTTTATTTATTTTATTACTTCTGAAAGGCTTAATTCAGCCTGCAAAACAACAAAGGTGAATAGCAATCAGAGAAACACATTTAAAAGAAAACATTGTTTTCAACCACGGACAAACCTTTGGGTAGAGAAAGGAACACACACACACACACACACACACACACACGGTAATGGAAACCTTAAAACACAGACTTGCTCCCAACAAGCTGACTTTTTCCATAGACTTTTTATCATATGTGGTGGGAATGTAGAGAAGTTAAATTTTTTTGAGAAAGATATATGATGAATTGAAAAAAATGTTTAAATTGACCTTTGTTAAAAAAAAAACAGAAGCATTTTTGTTAGGGATTGTAGGACAAGACCTGCCAAGAAAAGTAAATAACTTATTTATGTATGCTACAACAGCGGCAAGAGTCTTGTTAGCATAAGGATAGAAGAATGAGGAAATCTCAACGAAAGAACTGTGGCAAGAAAAATTGATGAGCTATGCGGAATTGACCAAATTGACATATAAACTGCGTGAAAAGGACAACTGTGACTTCAAGGAAGAATGGGAACTTTTCGCAAACTATCTAAAAAGACAACAAAATGAATTGGACTCTTTGGCAGGTTTTGAATAAACATTCACAAATTTATTAGCTGAACATACGATAGATAAAGTAAGGATATGTACAATTTTATAACATGCAGAAAACAATATATGTAAAGAAATCAGGGAGGGGAGCTGAGGGAAGTCCTTGGTGGGGGGGAGAGGGAGGGTTGAGGAGGGAAAGGGGGGAAATAATGTAATTGATTAAGAGGATTGATAAATTGTTATGTGGGAATTGGTTAATAATATTTTTTTTTTAAAAAAAACTGACTTTTCCCATAGAGAGATGCTGAACCCCACGCATTGAGTTGACAGTCACAGAGGTGCGCGTGTCTGTGATCAGACGTGTGGCGATGGACTTACCTGCACTAAGTGACCAGGGGAAGCATCACAAAAGAAGTTGGCCCCAAACAGACCTTTAGCTGCAATTAAGCAGGTGGAAAGGAATTGCCTTACACTATGTGTCCATCTAACTTAGTGGGGGGGGGGGGGGGCTCAGACTGGCAGTCGCTCTCCAAAAGATCTCAGAGAAAAGATCACATGTGGAAGGTTCCAGGGTCAATTCCAGCTAGGGCTTGGAGAGTTCCCTGCCTGAAGAAGAGCTGCTGCCAGCCAGTGCAGACAACACTTAGCTGGATTGACCAAGGATCCAAATAACTATATGGTATGTTTCCAACGTTTCCGATACCTGTTACCTGACCTCTTTAGCTGCAGATTCTGGGGATCAGACCTGAAAACCTTCTGCATCTAAACGGTGCGATCTACTCAACAGGGTTAGGATTCTGTCTCCCTAAACCAAGGAGAGGCAATGTGAGGCCCTCCACTTTATTTCAAAAGTACTCTTCAGTCAATTGGTTCAGATGTCTGGCAAGAAGGGGCCCTGCCTAGTTTTCATTCTAGCCCCACCCATTCCTGGCTTCAGGCCCCGCCCACCAGCAGCATGCATTCTCCATCAGTTTACCCCTCAGCACTAAAAGGTGGTTGCCCACTTAAGGTTGCACCAAAGCAGGGGTATCCAACATGGCTTGCTCTAGATGTTGTTGGACTCCAATTCCCATAAACCCCAGCCAGGATGACCAATAGTCAGAGATGATGTAGTCCAACAACATTTTGTGGCTATCCTTGCCCTAAAGGGCTGGGGGGTTGACGCAAGCTAGGGTTGCCTGCCACCTTGAGTTCCTTGGAAGAAAGTTGGGATAAATAAATAAATTTTAAAACTAATGTAAGCCCTGTGTTGGCAACGCAACTCAAAACAAATTTAAAAGAATAATAAAAAGGCAATAAAACAAATTAGTATCTTGAAATCAACACAAAATATTCGGTGAAAGGGGTATTGGATTGCAATGGGGGTAGCATTTTCTGCATCCTGGGTTAGGTAGAAGGTCAGAGAACTGAGACCCAAATCCACTGCATTTCACTTAGCATTCATTTCTCCCTCTTATCTCTGCATTCCTGGCAAAGGGGAGGTGTTAAGAGAACTTCAGCTGAAGAGAGACCACTTTGTCATTTTAGTGAGGCCATAAAAGGATCTTAGTGGCTGTTTCTGTTTTTACTTTCCCTTTCCTTTTAATTGATTCTGCTTTCCTCCCTTAATGTTACAAAAAAAGGCAATATATTTCAAAGATTGAATGTGAATTAAAAAGTGTCTGCTGCATGGCTTTTATTACCATGACATTCGGCAGTTTGTGATCTTTTTGTTCCATTATTCCACAAGCTGTTTTGCTTGGGAGTTTACAGAAGAACTCTTGCCAGTTATGTACCAGCCAGTTCAGATGCCCCCGCTCTTAATGGTCTTCTTCAGGCATTTGGGTGCCATTGGCTCAGTTCAGACATCTTGCCAAACAGGAAGCTTAACTATGGTTTGGTGTGATGTCTGACCTGACAAACCATGGTTGTTGGGGGGGGTGGAATTTGCCAACAACAGAATCCATGTCACAGGACCTGCTTGTGGGCCTGTTACAACAGGGCTCTGTGGACGTTTCTAGGTCCAATGATTCATGGCTGGCTATTTTTCTAAGCAGCCTACAAACAAAGCTGACTTCATTTTAACAGATCAAACTAAGGGGAGGAAGGGAGACCAGAAAACCTGAATTGGCAGTGTATTCATCAAGCAATCTTTAAATATAGTTTCTGTGCTACCTCTTTATAATGTTGCTTCCCTATTTTGGTACATAGTAGTGACTCAAAGAAGGCAACTTTCTTCCCCCACAAGCTGAAAATTACTATGGCTGCACTTGGGCCAGCGGCTGAGATATCACTTCAAACCAAGTGCCTTGGTGCTGAAATCCTATCAAAAGAAAACTTCCTTAGCTTATCAGTCCTTGCAGACAGTAGACAAGATTATTTGAAACGGCCCTTGAAGCATTGTTATTTGCTTTTACAGTTTCAGCAGATGATTTGTTGCTGACATATATCAAATTGAAAGCGATGGCATTTTGCTTCTTTATTTAGAAATATTTATACCTTGGCCTTTTGAACAGAGAACAATAATGCCTCCAAGTTGACCCACAAATTTTTATATATATGAACATGGGAAGCTGCCTTGTATCAATGACTCATCCAGATGATCTGTTTATTGAGCATCCATCCTCATTTGCTTGCAGAAAGCTTACGCAGAGGTTAGATTATGTCTGGTCTTTGTTGAGCATCCATCCCGATTTGCGTGAGGGTGTTGAAACGCCTCCCCATTAATTATTTGTTCATTCCACACTTTTCAGCACAACTGCCTGTCACTTTCTCAATCACAAAAGTCTCATTTTTATTTAAAATGATTTTGTGGTGCTGGGGCAAGTGAGCACTTCAATCGACTTTAACTGTGCAAACCTAATTTTCCGGTGTGTGCTTGAATTGCTCCTGCAAAACAATGGCTGCCTAGATACAACCCAAGTCAACCTTGGTCTATCTCACTCCACTGATGGAGGAAGGGGGCGGGGGGAGCGCACCACCCCCTGCACCATCGTGGAGGAGGGTACCATCGTGGCCACACACCCCCGGACACGTGCCACACATCCCACTGCACCCCCCCAGGACACACGCCACGTCCCTGGGATACACGCCCATGCGGGCAGCATGCCACACCCCCGGGATGCATGCCATGCCCCACAGGACGCGCCAGCCATGCCTCCGCCTGCTCTCCGCCCCCGGTGCCAGAGCATGCAGCTTCGCCACTGTCTCACTCAGTACTGTCTGCTGTGATTGGCAGCAGAATTCCAGGGTTTCAGTCAGCGGTCCGTCTCAGCTAGCGATGTCAAGAGAATTCCACCCAACATGGGAGCAGAAATTCCCACAATTAACATCTTCACCTCCTTCATTTTGCCCAGTCCAGCGCCGAGGGCCTTCTGGAGGTGCCTTCACTGCGAGAAGCGAAGTTACAGAGAACTAGGCAGAGGGCCTTCTCAGTAGTGGTGCCTGCCCTGTGGAACGCCCTCCCACCAGATGTCAAAGAAATAAACAACTATCTGGCATTTAGGAGACATCTGAAGGCAGCACTGTTTAGGGAAGCTTTTAATATTTGATGAATTATTGTATTTTAATATTTTGCTGGAAGCCACCCAGAGTGGCTAGGGTATAAATAATAAATTTGTTGTTGTTGTTGTTGTTGTTGTTGTTGTTATCATCTGGGGCCAGAACAAAAATCATGTAAGCAAATAATCACTATTGTTATTTTATTTAGTCTGCAAATATCTCCTAAATAATTACATTATTTTCTACGCTGTGATTGATGTTTCACTTCCATGGAAATGCACTGAAGTTAACTGCTTAATTAATTGAGTAAATGTCAGCCGCGGTGGACAGTGAGACAAATAATGTAGGTTTTATCAGAAGCTGAACTGTAGTGTAACGGAAGCAGCGCTGATTGTGCTGAACCTAGGATGGGACCGAAATCACTGCCCCTTACACCCTACTAATAGCCCTACCTGGAGATGCTTGAGGGTGGAACCAGGAACCTCCTGCTTGCATAGCAGATGCTCTGCTGCTGATCTCAGAGTCACTAGCATAAGGACTGTAGCTCAGTGGGACAGCATCTGCTTGGCATGCAGAAGGTACCATGTTTGATCCCTGGCATCTCCAGGTAGGGCTGGAAATATCCCATCTGAAATCCTGGAAAGCTTCTGCCAGTCACTGCAGACAAAGCTAGATGGACTAAAGGTCTGAACTCGGGATAAGGCAGCTCCCTATGTTTTTTGTTCTCAGCAGGGAGGAGGATGGGGACAAAATTAGAATTAGCTGGCTCTGCCTGTCATTGGTTCTGTTGGCCTCTCTGCCTTCTGCCCTGGTAGGTGGGGATATCGTGATCAGAACTGTGATGGGGCAAAGGATTAAATCCCCAATCGCCCCACAAAATGGCACAGTGCTGGCCAGGATCGAGCCCCTCCTGGATGCAATTTGGCAAGCAAGCCCAAGGACATCAAGGCCAATCACAGGCTCATCATCACCGCATGTGGTTTAGTCTCACGTTTGTTCCTTCCTCGGTCCAAGTACCATGCCCCTGAACCAACGCGAGATGGTCTGTAATATTATGCCAACAGAGAGAATCGGCAAACGAGGAGCACATGTAATTCAATTACCGCCTGAAAATGGATTTTAAGTGGTTCTTATGCTTATGAAGCAGCGCGATGAATAAATAAGGGGAAATGATTTATCCTCTCTGCAGGAAAAGCACACAGCCTCCTTTCCACTATATGCTCAGCTTTGTGGATTCACCAATTAGAGATGCCCACCGACCTCCATTGGCTTCCATCTTCTCCACACTACTTAGGGGCAAACTACTAAGCAAGGGCAGTGTCAGGGAACTGACATCGGAGCCAGAGGCGGAGGCAAGGCTCCCAAGCGATGCTGGAGAAGGGCCCAGCAGGGAGAGAGGCAGCTCATCAGCTGGGGAAGGAAATCAGCGTAACACCAGGGATAAAGGGGGGCAGATGGGGGAATCGGCGAGGGGGCTCCAGGACTCCTCGCCGGAGATCAGCGGGGAGAGCACGGGTCCTCCGCTACCCACACCCTCCCTGTGCAGAAGACTTCCGCGCAGGGAGAGTAGGAGGAGACTCGGCGTCAAACAGCTTTTATGCTGGAAAAGGTTTAAGAAACGCCCACTGACGGATTCTGCTAGTGACTGAAACAGCCACGAAGTGAAGGGCTGTCCAGACAGAAAAGGTTTAACAAGGCGACCTAGCCAGGAGTGGCGGCAACTTACGCACGAGCAACCCCTATATTTATTACAGGCAGTGAGTAGGGAAAGTGGTCTGATCAACAAATCAAGAGCAAACATACATATTCTTTTGCCTAAAATAGAAAATCTGCAAGGGGTGGGGATTTTGAGCTGAGAAATGGCAGGTAAGTCACTTAGCCTAGGGCTGCCATACTTTAGGACATTACCGGGATTTCCAAGGCAGAATTGACATCCAGGGGGAATTTTCTGGGTAACACTTCTTTATTCATAAATAAATGACATTCGGGGGGAATTTCTGAAAGATGGTACTTTGTCCTGAATCTTAGGCAAGTCAATCAAAAAATCAAAAAAGCTCAACAATTTTGAGGGCTTCCTATTCGGGGTGTCCTGGTTTTTACTTTTTGAAATATGGCAACCGTACCTGTTTCCCCACTTCCATAATTTCTCAGTGTTAAACCCCTCGATGGGATTAAAAATATGGTAAGGTAAAGATAAAGGGACCCCTGACCATTAGGTCCAGTCGTGACCGACTCTGGGGTTGCAGCGCTCATCTCGCTTTAATGGCCGAGGGAGCCGGCATGAGGGAGTCATGTGGCCAGCATGACTAAGCTGCTTCTGGCGAACCAGAGCAGCGCACGGAAACGCCGTTTACCTTCCCGCCGGAGTGGTACCTATTTATCTACTTGCACTTTGACGTGCTTTCGAACTGCTAGGTTGGCACGAGCAGGGACCGAGCAACGGGCGCTCACCCCATCACGGGGATTTGAACCGCTGACCTTCTGATCGGCAAGTCCTAGGCTCAGTGGTTTAACCCACAGCGCCACCCATGTCCCCAAACGTTCATTTTAAAAACCTGCTTGTGTGTGTGTGTGTGTGTGTGTGTGTGAACTGGAACCCACAAATAACAGGTGGAAACAAGGTTAAACACCTCTCCCACAATCTTTCTCTGCTTAAAATCTCACCATGCTGCTTGTTTCCATTTTTTCTTTCTTTTCAAAATGCCACTAGTGGCTCCTTTACACAGTTGACGCCAGCCCCATAGACCTTCACCAGACAAAATGGGTCTATCCAGCCACCCATGAGAAAACGTCTCAGAATATCACTCCCTTCCTGTCCCTGACAAATTTCCCTACTACTGCTCATCTGTATATACTTTGCTTTTCATTGCCAAATTGCTTTCCAAAAATAAAAACAAAAACCCTCCCAAATCCCAGTGAGATGGGGCATGTTTATTCCTCCCCCCCCCCCCCCCGTATATATATTCCTTTCATAGACTTAAGGCTGAGCCAGCGACTTGTCAAGCCACTTCCTGAGTTCAAAGAAAAGATGGGTCCTGAACCCAAGACTATCTATCCACACCTCTCTCTGTCTCCTGAATGTTTCAGCTGACCTTCCAACAGAATCCAGTTAATTGTTGACTAGTTCCCGGCATAAAACCCAAGTCAGGATATTCTAAAAGAATTGTTATTGAGAGACATCTATGTATTTGCCAGTGTCATGTAAGGAGACCCTTCATCAACAGGCCCCAGAAAACACTGCAATGGAGAATGTTCTTGTTCAAGGTTCCAGCCAGCCATTCCCTTTTCCTACATACTCCATTACGTTTCTGCCCACCTCCCAACACATACGGAGTGAAGCAACATTCCATGCCCACTGAGCACACTGTTTTGGAGTCCTGGCACCCTTAAAACATTTGCCATTTTGGGGTAGTTTGGGTTTAGGTTTCCCCAAACCCGCCGCTTCTGTGAGTGGTTTGCTATGTAAGAATTGGCACTTAGAGAACTGAGTTTGCTGTGTATGTGTGTAAAATTGTCCCACAATCTCCTTCCCTTGCCTAAAACCTGTGCATTATTATAGATATTAGACCAGGCATAGGCAAACTTGGCCCTCCAGCTGTTTTGGGACTACAACTCCCATCATCCCTGACCACTGGTCCTGTTAGCTAGGGATGATGGGAGTTGTAGTCCCAAAACAGCTGGAGGGCCGAGTTTGCCTGTGCCTGTATTAGACTGTCCTACAGCCGTTCATTCCCAACTCTCCATGCTAAAATTTACGCTCTTCCAACATGAGCCAGCTCTCACCTGAGACTCACTTGTTATCAGCAGCTCAACGAGCAATTAAACAGCCCTGCCAATTAAGCCTTAGTTCGGGGTTAACTGCTGGACTCCAGTAGTCCATTAGTTGGAACATTGTCTAAATAGCAGTTCAGATCTGAGAGCCCTGTGGCTCTATGACTAATCCAAACGTCTCTGCCACTTACGGGGCCCGTAGCGGCTGAAACCAAGAAAGACGTTTCCTGCTTGGCGCGGCATGGCAAATACTTCATCTGCAAGATTTAGTGTCTACCTTTAAATAGGCTAAAGGAGTTAAACAGCCCAAAAGGCTTCTGGGTTCCTGTGGAGGATGACTCACAGGAAGGATGGCCAAAATGCATCGCTATAAAATATTAAAGATAATAGGCCTCCTCGCCACAGAGGCAATATCCAACCTAGCTAATAGACCCCAGATCCTCCCACCAATTCCCAGAGTCGTTAATGGCCCTCAGGGTCTATGAGCAGATGTCAACTCTCTTTTACAGGTACCACTTTTTATTCGCTCCAAATTACAGCCTGGCATTTAATTAATTTTTTATTATGGCAACACACATTGTCCCCCTCCTGCCGTCCTCCTCCTCCTCCTCCACCAAGGATGCCAGAGGCTTTGGCCATGACTGCTGTTCCTCTGGAATCAAACCAAGCCAGGCAGAACAATGTCCCTGTCTGGTAAGAACACCGGAGGAGGAAAATTCTGCTCAAAGTTCAGAAACTGAAAAGTGGTTCAAACAGAGACAGCCATCTGATCAACAACAACAACAAATTAAAAACCAGAAGACCCAGCAGACAGAATGATCCTTTTAGCCAACAGAATTTTAATGGGAGAAATGCCATTTTTTTCAAAATGCACTGTTCTGAAAGGTCTCTGCTTGCTGAGGGACCTGGGTACCTTGCTCTCTCTCTCTTTCTCTCTCTCTCTCTCTCTCTCTCTCTCTCTCACACACACACACACACACACACGTAGATTCAAGCCTTCTACCTGCCACTTGCATGGGACGCAGGTGGCGCTGTGGGTTAAACCACAGAGCCTAGGACTTGCCGATCAGGAGGTCGGCGGTTCGAATCCCTGCAATGGGGTGAGCTCCCGTTGCTTGGTCCTTGCTCCTGCCAGCCCAGCAGTTCGAAAGCAGGTCAAAGTGCAAGTAGATAAATAGGTACCACTCTGGCAGGAAGGTAAATGGCATTTCTGTGTGCTGCTCTGGTTTGCCAGAAGTGGCTTAGTTTGCCAGAACTGGCCACATGATCCAGAAGCTGTACGCCGGCTCCCTTGGCCAATAAAGCGAGATGAGCGCCGCAACCCCAGAGTCGGTCACAACTGGACCTAATGGTCAGGGGTCCCTTTACCTTTACCTTTACCTGCCACTTGCAGTGGGGAGGCAGGCAAACATGGAGACTTCAGGTCAGACCTGGACATCTGGCAGCTTAGTCTGAGGCCTTGGAGAACTGCCACCAGGCATAAGACCATAAGAAGAGCCTGCTAGGTCAGGTCAGTGTCTCATCTAGTCTAGTATCCTGTTCTCAAAGTGGCCAACCACTACAGTCAATGCAGACCAGGGGCAGGAAATCTGTGGCCCTCCAGATGTAGCTGGACTTCAACTCCCACCAGCCCCAGCCACCCTGTCTCTACTTCTTCCTAGCATTTAGTCAAAATTCTCATTTTTTCTTAAACCCAGTAGAGCAGGTCCTCTCTTCAGGAGCAACAGAATCCAAATGTGCTCCCATCACCTATGCTTAGCACCTTTCAGATAATCAAAGATGGCTATCACAACCTCTCTTCTCCAGGCTAAACATGCCCAATTCCTTCAACCTTT